AAAATGATAGTCATGCCAGCCCAGCGTCATCAACATTGAAAAATGCCCCGGCATGAAGTGGTTAAGCAATATCCTTTCCAGAACTGACTTTAAAAGTTCTGATCAACCTATCCAGTGATACATTATTATAAACTCTCATTTCACTGAAAGAAAATTAACTAAAGCCATTTCTCGGGGAAAGTAGAAAAAAGAACTGCCTTGAGTTAAGGGTTCAATTGGTGACTTTCGCAGACTCTTAAACCTGGCCTGTACCTCTTGGAGAATATGTGGCTAAGTGTGTCTAGAACCTCGTTCAGGCTGCCTTGTAACTTCTTGAGGATGTCCGCTGCAACTGGGTCCAGACTCTCCCCTCCCATGGACTCAAAGACCTTCTCCAGTTGCACCCGGAGTTGCTGGATGTTGTTCATTAAGATGCAGGCCTGCAGGGACTGCACCAAGACAAGCAAATATACACATTATATCGACTGATCATGGGCAAATAAAAGAAGAATACTGCCTGCTCACAGCAAACATAAGCACATTGACTAACCATCAGCTATCATATTGACAGACAGCCAGCAATATACACAATAAATCCCTGGGTAGAGGGAGTGGCCTCTTTTGGAGAGGCTACTGGAACTAATTAACGTGTAAATATTTTGTTTTTCGTCCAAATGTAACAACTATTTATCATATCCTACCCCTGTACATGCTGAAAAACCTGCTTTAGTCACTTTACAGCCAGGGCCTCCCCTAACCAAAAAAATTAAAAAATCCAGCCAGCCTCCAGCCAGCCTCCAGCCAAGTCCCATAAGACTGTGTGCTAAGTGGCCCCTTGTGTACAACCTAACAGATTATTTACAAACAGTGCCTGGGGCAGACAGTGGAATGTTTCTTATTAGTGACAGCTGTCTGGAACTTGTCAGAGGTCTCTTTCGGCTGTCTTTGAAGTGTTATTTTGGTTGGGGGGGGGTGTTGTGGAGGTGGTGTGGCTTGGCTGGCGAGGGGAAGGCCCCCTCAAATCGGGATAGCCTGGGAAAACAGCCCCCCACAGTACTGTGATGTACTTATGGTGGTTTTTAAGAGCTGTAGAGGCTAGGGGACAACCACTGAAGCATTTGTATACCTTTAGGAGGGACTAAGGGCTCTGCAACCCTGAGAAATGATACTGACTCATCTGGCGAGTCCGCTCCCGTGACCACATTTATAAAAAAATTCATACCACGGCATATTAACCAATCAAGAGCAATATAAACATTATATGGACTGATCACTGTGCACTAGCTCCTCATGAACAGTGTGACAAAACATAACTAAAGAAAGGGGCATAGTCAGAGAGTAGGGGGAAACAACCGGAGCGAGAGAAGACATCTAGCTCAGAAATTAATAGTCTAGAACAAATTCATCAGCTTTGGCCCACACTTACTTTCCCAACTTTGCTTTCTGTAAAATACACAGAAAGAAAAAGCAATGCAGAGGGGAGGGGAGAATTTCTTTTAGAAACAGGAATATCCAGCAAAGCTCATTTTTGGAAACTAATGCCAAAAACATCATGGCAATGTTGGGAAGGACTATGTGGTATGCTATCTTCAGATCTACAAAGTTCTTGACAGATTAAACAAAACAAAACATGATCAGGTGGCTCAGCTGCATCAGCAGTTCATTCCAAGAGGTCACAGGCTCCAATCCTATTTCAGTAAAACCTCCTTTGCTCCAATAACTTGACGTACGGGCTTTTTCTGGAACTGAACAGCAATGCTCAGGTTCAAGTGTACAAATTGGATAATCACACACATTAATTAACCCTAACAGTCCCAAATCCTTCAATTTCAATACGATTTTACATACACTCTAGGGGGGTAGGGTTAAATCACTCCGGGTTTAAAAAGTGGGACAACTTACTATCTTGTCAGCACAGCAGTACTTGGCAAACTTCTCATGGACCACGTCAGCGTAGGCGAGCAGTACTTTGTTCACCGTCTGAAAGGTTATCAAAAAATAACCCCTAAAACCACATCAGTTGAGAAAAACAATATTCTTTTTGATGACAACGTTCAAAAACTGCTCATAGAGGTTAACATCATTTGTACAGGAGCAATCTGATGCAAGAAACTGTGGCCAAGTACATTTGGATGAACTTGTCTGGTGGACAATAACTGCAAACGTCTGGCTAGTTGCCTTCCTGGATATTGATAGCTTCTTGTATCACAAACGGGGTATCAGCAAAGTGTGGAGATTTCAGATTCAAATTCCTCTATTTGACTAGAGCTCGGATTACGTGGGGCTGGGGAACAAACGGGGGGGGGGAGTCGCTGTCTCTGAATGATCAGGGCCTTTTTTACCATGTGTTATGCCAACATCCAACCGTGCATCACACCTCAAATGGACCAAACTGCTGCTGATGCCCAAAAAAACCCTCCCCCTTCCAAATACTCCAGGGTCAAAGGATTCACAGGTATATCCCCTTTAGATATCCCCTTGTGGAGGCATGTGGCCTAGTGGTTAGGGTTTGTAGCTTCTGATCATAGGGTCGGGGGTTCGAATCCAGCTGGTGGCAGCATGTTATGATCCTGGGCAAGTCACTTTACTCCTACGTGCCCCTCTCCACCCAGGAGTAAATGGGTACCTGTGAGAGCAGACACGGCTATGTTTAGCCGTTTGCGCTGAAATGGCAGCACTGGGCTAGAATACTCCCCAAGGAGCTGAGATGGTTTTAGGAATGTTCACATGACGTATGAGCCCAATGTGCAGGGATAAGAATGGCACTTTGAAACGTTGTGGAAAGCGCATTACAAATGTTGTAATTATTATTACTAGTATTTTAGATACAAATTTAACTATCCCCCCCTTCTGAAAAAGTTGATTCTGGATCTTCCCTGTTTTGCAATATTGCAGGTTGGAGGGGGACAGCAAGTCACCCATACCTGGGAGAAGCGTGTCATGTAGCGATTGACAATCTCCAGGTTGGGGCACTCCAGCTTCTTGATGATGTTGAAGCGCTGGTTAAGCTGGGTGAAGACATCCACCACCGAGCAGGAGAAGCGGGCGTGCTCCGAGCTCTTCTGGAAGCCTTCCTTCTCGTCCCGGTCCAAGGCGCCGTGCAGGAACTCCATGGACAGTTCCTCGTTCTCGGTCAGCCACTGCATGACAAATGGCTCAAACCACCTACAGGACAAAAAAACAACAGTGAAAACGGGTTCAAGAATGTGTACCTAACATGTGTCAAAGGAAGAACCTGCAGAATGCCAAATCACAGGGATTATGATACTTGCTTTCCTCAGCCAATGGAATTAGCACCCTAATAACCCAACCCTAATCCTTGACATAACCTCCATCTCAACCCCCACAGTAAACCGATCAAACCAAAACCCTAATCCTTGACATAACCTCCATCTCAACCCCCACTGTAAACCCATCAAAACCAAACCCTAATCCATCACATAACCTCCATCTCAACCCCCATTGTAAACCCATCAAAATCAAAACCCTAATCCTTGACATAACCTCCATCTCAACCCCCACAGTAAACCCATCAAAATCAAAACCCTACTCCTTGACATAACATCCATCTCAACCCCCACTGTAAACCCATCAAAATCAAAACCCCAGTCCTTGACATAACCTGCATCTCAACCCCACTGTAAACCCATCAAAACCAAAACCCTAATCCTTGACATAACCTCCATCTCAACCTCCACTGTAAACCTATCAAAACCAAAAGCCTAATCCTTGACATAACATCCATCTCAACCCCCACTGTAAACCGATCAAATCCAAAAGCCTAATCCTGAAACCTCTACTCTAACCCTGATTTTGTGGGATTTCCCTGCAACATCTATCCGAGGTTTTCTTCGTGTTTTTAAAACCGAGCACATCTTAATCATCTTCTCTTCGCTGGTTTCTTCAGGCTTGGCAACCAAAATCACTTTCAAGGGATCTATATGCTATCAAAACATCAAATAAGCATAACATTCAGGCTTAAGCTTAATTATTACGGTATGACCTTCTACATGTATGTAACTGCTTTGGGACACAAAAAATGGACAAGACTTCAGTTCTGTTAATATGCCAAGGAAGTGTCTCCATTTTTCGTTTCTATCTACAGGATGTTTGTATTAACCTAAACAAGACAATTAAAATATACACACTACTATGGATTGAAACACGAAGCAAAACAACAAGTTAGTACTCAGCTCAATACAATGTGCCAATGCAAACTTTGACCACTGAAGCTGGGCTCAAGACACTCGCCTCCTTAAAAAAAAAACCAGAGCAAAAGGTCTACTCACGCCGGATAGGCTGGTACCGAGTCCTTGTATGGTGGCACTGTCTCTATGTACTTATTGTACATCCACTTGACCTTGAAGTGAAGGTTCATGTATTCAGCACTGGTACATAACCTCTGCTGCTCGTGCTCTGTGATTGGTGGAAAAGAGCGAACTGGTTAAAATCCAGCACGCACCAGGGTACCTTTTTGTCCTTGTGGTGGCAAGATTGTCCAAAAAGTTCATTTTCAAGTCAAGGAATGAGGCGTACTTGTATTCACATTCAAATACCCCTTCATTAAAAGCCAAGAAATGGTTCATTCATAATTTGGAACTATTTATAGTTTTTTCTCAGCATAAACATTGTAGAGACTAGTTCCTTAAGCAGCATTACTTTAACAGCTGTGATGAATATGATTCAAAGACTTTTTCACAACCAACGGAAACCTTTCTACCCATGATGCCTTGTGAGTTATCAGCAAATATGACAAACCTAGTGTTAAAAAAAAAGATGCCTCTCACCTTCCAAGGCGTATTTCAGATCCTGGTGGGCAAACAGACTCCACATGGTGGATGCGCTGAGCTGCCCTACATTTAGCTCGTTGGGAAACCTGGACAAATGCAAACAGACAAAGAGACTTACACCGATGGCAGAAACACTGCAAGTTTCAACAGATACACACGCTCATTCAGTGACAGTATCACTTCACTTTGATGCATGTGAAACTAGATGCAGGCCATCACGTGCCTTCGTCACTTCAGTCAAGCGAGTCAGAAGCACAGTGCTCCAAATAATAGCCAGAGGATGTTTATGGACTCTGCACAGGAGCTGCTGAAGAGTACCCTGTGTTTCACTCATGAGTGTGTAAGCATAACGTGAGTGGACTGCACCTGACCAGTTTTCGTCTCAATGCACAAACCTGTTGCGCACTGCAGCAACAGCACTCAAATGTTGTTTTTAACAGTGAGGTGGTCACCTGGCTCATTTTGATAAAGTCGGTAAGCTCAGAACATTATTTGTTCTGCAAAGCAGGTTACCAACAAAAGTTCTGTGCAGAGTTTATTACAAGGTGTTGGTTTTCTACTCATTTCTGCTTAGCACTAAAAATTTGCTGAGCAAAATTGTCAGCAATAGCATTTCTATAATATTGGTCCAGCTGTTCAGAGAGTCCACATTAAACATGACTGAGTCAACCTGAACGTTCACCACACATAACTCACTGATTTAGAACCGAGGTGTAAGTGGTCTTGTCCTCTTCAATGACCGAGACAATCAGGGAGATGAGCTTGGTCCAGAAGTCCAGGCTCTTGGCGCTGGGGCCGTTGGCTGCGTCTGCCTCACTAGGCCGGTCTGAGGGGTCTGGCTGGAACTCCCGCTGGTACAGGTCAAAGCAGTTCTCATAGATGTACTCATAGGTGGACTTGAGGCAGGCGATGACGCAGTCCTTGACAACGGTTGCCGCGCGGGGTGGACTGGCCAATTCCTGAACCTGCAAAGGCACACAAATTTGTACCACTTTGGCCTGACATAGTCTATAGACGTTGTGGATTGGACCTGTCAACCCCAACCCCTAGGCATTCTTGCTACAAAGTTTCCTAAATCTGTTAATATCCTCCACTGTACAGGAAATAGCACAATGGCACATTCTTCATACTAACTTCCAAGGATAGAGCTTTCAAGAAAGTAGAATTTAAAAAAAAAACTTGCTATTATGCTGTTTTTTTAAATGCACTGCCTTATCTGTATTAAATTTCCTGAAGGCAGTACACTCAAGATTCAGGTGATTTCTTTTTGTCACACTATCGCTTTTTCAAATGTCCAAGACTATGTTGCGGCAAGATATTTCCTGAATAGCCTGGCGTGAGGGCGAGACGCAGACTCAACCTCCATGGACTACTTTGAGCCTCTGTGTGTGTACAAACTCTGTGGGAAGCAAGTGTGTGAATGGGTTTTGATGACACATGGCATCACGGACAGAAATCTTAGAACATACTCAGACCTCCTCTGACTTTGACACTGGGAATCCCTACAAGTTCAGGCATCATCTGGCACAAGCCAATTCATAAAGCTTTCTGAAATAATGATTCGGAGTGAGGATTAATGGTTTTGTCCAAAGTTGTTTCACTTGATTGAAAATTGCTTCAACCAGTTTTTATCAAGAAGTGAGCAACAAACCTTCATTCTGAAGAACGTGATGCTGGTAAGAAGGTCTACCATGGACTTTAGGTCAGCTAGTTTCTCAGGGCTGTTGGCTGGGAAGTTATTCTACAAAAGATTCAAGAAATTAGGCCAAACAATCATACTATATCATATGGTAAGATTATATGGTATGATTACTAACTATATAATAACATTCTGATGCCCAAAATACCAAAAAAAAAAACACTCTTACAGATTTAAAACAACATTAACAAACCTGACCAAATAGATCAAGGATCAAAACAAATCAGAGCATAATTAAACTAATAACTGAGAGAAAGAAATTTGCTTTGATGCTTTTGGAAAACCAAGGTGGGCCTGTGTTTACTCACTCTGTAAGCTGAGAGATCGATGCGCAGTGAGTTATGTAGTTGGTCAAGCAGCTTCACAAACTTGTCTTTCTGTAAGGAAAAAAAGACTATGAATTGGTTTTTCCAATTATCACATCACAATCCGGAATGAACAAATTGATCCATATTGACGACAGTAAAAAAAACCCACTCACTTCAAACATGTCACCGTTCACATTGTCAAGACAGAGAAAGAAATGCACCCAATGATGACAAAATCTGCTGAAAAGAATTTGTGTGACAGAGGCCTCCTTAGTGCTTGAAGGAATAACTGCACTTGGGATACTCACGCCGAAGTTGGAGGCGGCAAAGCGGTCACTTGCGGATACGGCAGTCGAGGCTGTAGTGTGTGCATAGAAAGCATTAATGTTGGCCAGGAGTGTGCTCATGACGGCCGGCACTCCTGAACACATGTACTTGGAGGAAAGACAGGAGAAATGCCTGGACAAAACGTGAGGAGGAAAAAAGGCAAGGTGAAAGCACTGAAAAAATCACATTTTCAGATGAAGATAGCTCAAAAAGACACTCACAATTTTCAATTATTAAGAATTTTGTTTACAGTCTGTTTTCCATTAAAAACATTTCCCTTCAGTGGAAATGAAAATGTCATGTCACTGTGTAGCTGACATCAGATACCTCAGAGATCAGATTTATGTATACCAAAATATGTATTTCTGACTCTTAAGTACTCAGGATAATTGTTCCTGGAGCTTTTGTTATAAATAGTTTCAAATTTGTATGTTTACATTGCAGTTACTTGCCACAAGATCAGAAATGGTTAAAGAATAATTTCAGGGAAAAAAATCTACTGTTCTAAAATGTTGCCTGTCCAAGTGTGGCTGAAGTCCAATCTTAAACAAGTTGGACAGTGCTCCAGCATGGAACAATCTGTTCGAAAAGCTAATGGCAACATGGGTCCAGTCCGTAACTCACGTCATTGCTTGATAGATGGACTCGATGCCGTATCTCATGGCAAACTCATCCACAATCTCCTGTGGTGTCTCTTCGAAGTACACCTTCCAGGCGTCGTCTCCCCGGGCGGCTGGCAGCTTGACCTGGCCCCCTTCCCGCTCGCTCAGATAGTGGAACAGATTCTACAGGGATAGGGGGTGGGTGAAGAATGAAGCTTCATTTAGCAGTGTAGTCAACAGACTGGGGAAATACATGTACTTCCCTTTCACCTTTGCGAACCTTGAAGTGTGCTGCTTGCTTTCCACCTGTGACCCCAGTTCATTTTCTCTAAAATACTCCCAATGACAGACAGTAGAATGGTTTGGGAATTTCTGCAAATTATTTTTGGTTTCCCACAAATACTATCTAGAGTTCCTATCCAATCAGCATTTCTTCCCCATCTTATTTACTCTACATTTTTTTTAGGGCAAGGCTAAAAGGTCAGAGTGCTGGTCAAACATTCTCTTATATTACCAGAAGAATTGTTTGGTCTTCATATTTTGGTGGCAGGGCTCTAAATCTCTCAATGGTAAGTCTAGCAATGTTTTTTCAATCTCTCAGCTTAAAACAGGAGCATACAGATCAGCAATGAAGCACTTATTTTAACCCTTGTTGATAATTACAGGCTACCACACTCATAATGTAATTACTACAAAGTAATTAATTTCAGCTTATTACGGTCACTAACCTCATGTAAGCATGTATACTGTACATGGTACGGGGCCACAGATTTCTCCTCCCCTTTGATCTCTACACTAATGTGTAATCGGATGGCCCCTGACACTGCAGATTTGTCTGTTCTCTTCTCTGTATATAAAGGTTACAAGTTACAGTGAAAATTAAGCTAAAAAAAAAAACAATTGTTTCAATCTTAAGCAAACTACTTTTCCCAATTGTTATTGTTAAAGTATGGTAGAACATTTTACTTTGATGGATTCTAGAACCAAGTAAGTAGGCAAACATTTGGGAAGGACATGAGGTTTGGGCTTTGTAGACATGTAATTTGACATGATCTTTGAATGCGCATGACAATTCCTATAACAAGGAGGCGGCAAAATATAATGAAATTGTTATGTAAACAATGTGCCCTCTCTCCTTAATACACCAAACTCATATGATACCCAAAAAGGTTGTCCAAATTTATGGTAACTGTCACTCTGGGCAAGAATCGATGAATAACTTTACCTAGGTTATACCAGACGTCCATTTCGCCACTGAGGGTGCGGACCTCAATGATGGTCTGGCCCAAGAAGTCATCTGACTCCCTGGTCAGCTTCTGCATCAGCTTGGACTTCAGATCATCGTCTTCATCCCTGGCCACAGACAAGTGAAGGAGTTCATCAATTCAACCATGGGGGTAAATCGGCTGTGGTTATCTTTGATCAATATATAAATGCAGGACTGCTGGGTAGAGCAATTGTACATGAATTCTGGGGGTTGTAGGTCCTGGTCCCACTAAAATCAAGTTTGCTTTGTTCAACAACTAAAGGCAGATTAGGTAAGAATAATGACAATTTTGATACTGGGTTTCGCTTTTCACCTGACACATGAACCATTTTTGATAAGAATCTTTTAAAGAATTGTACTGCTGTCCAGGAGTTCATGAGATACATTCCAATGCCTGGAACTTCTCTTGGATTTCCTGATAGTGCAGCATCCAAGTTCAAGAAAAAAAGGGCAGAACTCTCCTCAATATGTAAGATGTCAAGCAGCAAATGTGCAGAGTAGCCACTCTATATGCTCAAAATGGATTGTATGAAAAGCTGCATACACTAACTGCAAAACTTTAGTTTCCCTTGTTTAATAACATTTTTTTTTAAAAAGGACATAAAATGTGAAGTTGCGCGGCTCAGCTTACCAGACACGGACTTTGATCCGGTCAGAGGAGTTGTGGCACTCAAAGAAGAACTTCTCATTCCACTCCGGGTTGAGGTTCTGCTGGACAGTCCGTGTCCTCTTCTTGACTTTGCCCACCTGCACCGTGACATATGGGTCACTGGTACCTGTCTTGTCCTTGGCAATCAGGCCCTGGGCGCTGACCACAGTGATGGCCAGCTTAGCTGACCACTTGGACGTGCCGTCCAGCACACTCTGCTTGACCGCCTTCATGTGGCCAGCGTGCTGCTGCTTAGGAATGTTGAACACTTCCCTATGACAAACGGGTGCAGAATTCATTGTTGGGGTGGCATCGGGAAAATGGTGGAACAGACACAAAGACCTTCTGCCTGACCTCACTTGGTATTCTTTGTGAATCCTCCAAAAATTTTCTGATTGATGTTGAAGAATATACGGGGGACTAAGTTATTGAAAAAAGACAAACGGCAAAGTTTGCATATGCCTACATGTATGCACAAACCCTTCGTCGTGTGCAACTTGAAGGCAAGACACCACACCACACAATACACCGTCCATGCCAATAACATGAGTTGAAAGCCACTATAACAGTCCCTCTGTGTACTACCATGTTCCAGGCAATGCATCAATAGGAAGCATCAATGTTTTTCAACAACATACAGTCAAATTCATCTTAATATCAAACACAGTGATAATTCACTGCAAAGAGCTCAGTATGCTCTTTCTGATGTAAACTGAAGTGAATGAGTACCCACATATTAAATGCTGATACTCATCCCTTGTTTGTTCCATACTCACTCTCTGCTCTCAAACTAACAAGGAGAAACAGGTCATCAAGTGAGTTTTTTGCAATCATTGAGCCATTAAAGTTCTAAGTTTATACTTTGACCTCTAATTTTTCTTCCTGCCACTGCTTTCATAGCCTCATTGTAACCGTGACCATGTCAAGCTTCCTGAGTGACCTCTTTTACTGCATATCCTTGTACTATATCCACATATATCTCAAACTATCATGCAATTAGGGAGCCTCTGAAAACACTGAATGCTTGGAATATTTCAGAAAAACAAGGTGCACGTTCAATGGAGACTTGGGGACCCCTGTGGAGAGCAGATCATTTGCTGAGGTCATGGACTTGGTGCATGAAAGACAGAGACAATGTTGCTGCTGATAGGGCTTTAGTCAAGTCCATTGCAAGGCCATCACAGCCTATCCAGTCTGAAGTCAAATCATGAACAACTCAAATGAATTGTGACAAAAGCATTCCTTCGCCACTGTGACTCGTCTTGTGAATGGACTTGTGACTAGTCTTTGTGACTAAGCTCATGGAAGGACTTGTGACTGATCTTGTGACTGGTTTGTGAATGGTCTTGTGACTGGACTTGTGACTGGTCTTGTGAATGGACTTGTGACTCGTGAATGGACTTGTGATTGGTCTTGTGAATGGATTTGTGATTGGTCTTGTGAATGGATTTGTGAATGGTCTTGTGACTGGTTTGGTCACGGTGACTGGTCTTGTAACTAGACTTGCGAGAGGACTTGTCAGGAACTCGACTATAGCCATAGCAATGACGTTATGTGATGGCTGACACACATTTCCTCCCCCCATTTGAAATTTTGAAAGGTTCTCAACATATGGTCAAGACACAGTTCTGCTTTCAGTGTCCTACTGAAACAACTCATGCATCCGGGGTGCTCCCCTCCAAAATTTCACCCTACATGTAGATGTGCCACTACTGACATGCACATCTTACATGTGGGTCACAGGATGTGGACAGCTAATTTTTATTAGAATGTGTGATATCTCAAAGGATTTTTTTGGTTGTTGAGTAAGTTTAACTAGTGAACAGCAGTTACAGCATTTGTTTCGATGGCAATCTCTCTGTCACCACTGAGCACAGAGTGATATTGCTTAATCACAGATCTTGGCACACCGTATTTTGTTTCTAGTGTGACTCACTGGATAAGATCAAAGATCTCAGGCTTGTTGCGTTCACGGATCTTCATCCTGTCTCGCATGGCCATGATGATGTTCTGCGTCTTGTCCTCAGCTCCATGCTTGGAGCTCTTCTCGGCCGCCCCTGGGGTGTAGAGGTGAAGGGAGACGGACAACAGTGGATTAACGAGCTGCCTTAAGAGACTGCTGTTAAATCTCGTGACAACGATGATAATGCCAATGATGGTGATGATGACGCCATACTGCAAGTCATTATGTTACTCATGCCAACTGTATGTTAAGTATTTCATAGGCAATCTCATGGTGAACAAAACGATGGAAGTGAAGTGACCATGCTGAATACGGGTTTTGACGTTTTGATTTTTTAACTTTCACTTGCAAGAAACCTGCATCTTATGGACCTTTGGTAAATTTCTATATCATGAGAGCAGGGAAGACCGACCATTCACACTGCTCAGCAGAGAAAAACTGTTGGCAAGAAATTTACGAGTAAACATTTGTAGTAAATTTGATCGGTATGCTGAGAACAGCGGCAAGGTTGTGTTTTATGTCCATGAGTGAAATTGTCTGACAGGCCTACCGGTACCGGCATACATGCATTTGACCCACGAACACATGCCCAAGGTATCTTTCATGATAATGAGTAATGGGGATGAACGGATACGTGGAAATGGCTAAAGTGTAACATGGGGGAATTTTCGATGGGGTTGACAATCCCCCCTTCCATCCGTTGTCCCCACCCACGGCCTATTCAGTGTGATTCATTCCAACTTGCCAATGTATCATGCTGATGATTACAACCCTCGATTCTTCACCTAGCACCAGTTTCCGGTGTCTCGTAGAATGGAGCAGTGCCAAGTCGATGAGTTGGCAAAGCCAGAGGGTCTAGTTTCATGTCTCTACTTGACACTGATGTTTGCAGCAGCAGAAAAGCTTGCCAAACAAGTTTTTGGAAGTTGGAGCTGTCATTGGAAAGTTATGCAAATTGGGCTTCTGAAGAATATACATGTCCTAGTTTGCTTGGTTGTACATTTTTGGGGGGTGACTGGGCCAGGAACTTCAAATTTTCCTTCAGCTCACCACTGACAGGATGATGGATGTAAGCAGTAAAATGTAACATGATAATCCAAGTTAACAGTAGGGCATGAAATTAGACATCAAGTGTCTGGAATGCATCCATGTAGTGCAAACAAAGAAATATCTATAAAGTTACACGTAAGCCAAGAAATGTCACCAATAAAACATAAGAATATAAGTGAAACAGAGGATGCAAAATACAGGCATGCATGACAAAAAATTACTATTCATTACAGGAGATTTAATCGGTGATGTAGGCATCATTGGAACTCATAAACACATCAAGGGAAGGTCTTCCTACCTGCATCGTCCCACAAGGAAAATCTATAAGTTGGAACTGGGAACAGTTCCCAGTAGGGAACAGCCCAGGAATGCCAAACATTCCCAAAAAGGAACCGTTTGCCAATGGAAACATATGCTAAAACCCAGAGCAGCTAGGTCTTGCAATACACCAATAGTTTCCTCAACTAAAGGGGTATCCTAAATAGAAAACAATTCAAGTTTTGAAAATACTCCATACATACAAATCTGAAATCATATACGCTTACATGTACATATCTCAATTAAAACACTCCCTCTCTAGCATTTATACAAATGCATGGATTTGTGAAGAGCATTGACAGCTCAAATCACTGGAGGAAATTTAAATTTGTGTATGCTCTTTTCCCACAAAATGAGCGAATGATAGTATTTACACTGTATGTGCTCAGATCCATAAAGAAGATAAAATTATGGGATTTTCCAGGAATGGGTACTCAATAACTACCTAGAAATTCCAACAAAATGGTTCTGGCAACTTGTAACTGCTAAAAGTTGAAGTACATGTACATCAGTGAGAAGAATAAAAGCACATTTACAACTCAATACGGAATTCAAATATCAAAAGGACACAGATATATACAACAGCGTATTCTACTGTCAAGCTCACTAAATGAACTACAAATATAGGTTAAGATTTAGAGAAGGTCATGCTAGTCAATGCTTTGACCAGAACTACTGTACTGAGGGAAACAACACAACTGACCTATGACACAATGACATCACACTTTGTTTGCAGGTTCACTTTCCTCTGGCAGCGAGGTGGAACATGATCGATCAAGCCCCCCCCCATAGGCACATGTAAACACAGCTCGACCTCATTTTGTCTGTTCTGAAGGGATTTTTCAAAACGTGACAGCTGAGGCTTGGTGGTGCCTTCTACATTTGGAAAGAATGCATTTATCCTGCCTTAAGTGTCTGCACTTTATCAAATTTTGATGAGTCAATCAAGACTCTAAAACCTTCTGGATTTTATTACAAAATTGAGTAACTATGGTAAAAGTTCTATGCTGGACCACCTCAATGTTCAAGTGTTAACAACATAAACACATTTAAAAAGGGGCACCTATGAATTTCTGTGGGCTAGCAGTTATGAAAAGGGAATTCAAAGCCCAACATTACAGTTTCACAAAATTGGGATTAACCTTTATAAAATAATTAAGCCGCTCGAAAATCGTGAATGGTCCGATATCGCACTCTTTTTGAAAATTCATTTCATTGAAATTTAAACAAAACAAAAAAAGTCACGGTAAGGTGTCTGAATGGTACTGTACGACGGTAGTATATTTTCTCTCATAAGATTTCACAAGCCATTCTTTGCTGCGAGTATAAAAAAAATCAAACAGAAAAGAGCTGCATGCAGGAAATTTGGAGCTGTCGGCCATTTTAGACTTCAAAGTACTGGTATGAAGCGACTCCATGTCTGGAAGACCTACAGGTACCAGATGGGGAAAATGGGAACTTACTTACACCATGGAGAGGGGAAGGGCGCCCCCTATCTACAGCCTTAGGCTTGACCATGCCATGGGCTGGACTGGACTGGTATCAAGTTGGCAGGGGAGGGGTTAACCCTTCGCGATTTGTTGAAGCATGAAGTGTGCCATCAAAAATGGACAGCAAAATCCTCACAATGTTGGCAGAACTTGTTCTGGATATACTCCCTGGTCCCTCTGAGATGCTCACTGGCTTTGACACTAAAAGACAGAGTGGGATTTTTTTTTTGATCTCCAGAATGTCTTTCCAATACAGGGATCATAACCCTGTAGGATCTGTACACAAATTTGTCTCAAACCAGGGCTGCCAGTAAAATGACCTTTCAGCTTTCACCTTTGACATGGTCAATTTTTTTAAATCCTCAGGTGCATCTGTTTAAGTACAATTTAGAATACATATTTAAATGCACTATTACTCAGTTCTTACCATAAAAATGTACTTATGTAGATATAAAAAATTCATTTAGGGCATTAGTCTCAGGATGCTAATCAAATATGCCAATTGGTTGACCTTTGAACTTAAGTTCCTCTAATTTACATCTATTTAATTCCTAGGAATATAATAGAGTCACAAGAAGCATTCTGGATGCTAGCAAGAAATAATTTGATCTGATAATCTTTTCAAAAAAGATGTTTGGATACCTGTGCAGAAAATGTGGAATTGTGAAGAAATCTATCAGCATTTAAGTTTCACTATGTAAAGGGATATAGGATATGCAAAAGCCTAATGACTTTAATGACTATATTATGGCTGACTGATAATTAGATGACTTTATTACCAAACCAGGGGTAATCTACATATATGTCAAAAGCAATAAATTAGCAATTTTTTTAACTAGTGTTTTTTTTTTTTGCAAGTTTACAAAGCAACAAATTAGCAATTTTTTAAACTAATTTTAATTTTTTTTTCAAGTTTACAAAGCAACAATTTGGCAATTTTTTTAATGTATTGTTTACTTTTTTGGCAACCTCAGCTAATAAAAATTTGAAACCATCAATTTGGCCACTGTGAAAATCAGTTCATTCTCAAAATAAAATTCAAGCAACAAATAAATGAGAGATGCCATATATTATGTCTTATTCTTTGTAAAGTGTTCACCAATCAGACATTTCCTGCCCAAAACTATAACATAAAAGACAAAGCTGGTCTGACTTCATCTCAACTTCAGCTTCATCTACAATGCTAACATTTTCAAATGTTTTGCTGTCAGAACCAAACAAAGGAAATACTCAACACATCGGCCCTGCATTAGATTATGTGATGTTTCCGTGTCAGGGGAAAAAAGGGAGGGGGGGTGCTGTGCGAGAGCCGGGAGGTTTCATATTTTAAAAGACAAAAAATATCATGAAACCGAAGCCTGGAATTGAAGCCAGGAATAGGGTCATGGTTTGGAAACCCTTTGTATCCTCTGAGTTCTAACCTTGCCAAAAGGACAGGGCCCACACTGTGGAAATGATCAGGTTACCCAGGATACGAAAACATATAAATTGGCAAATTTCAATTCTTTTGGTAGTTTTCCGAGGATAATTAAAATTGGTTCCTTTGCATTTTCTTCCTGTAAAGTAATACGTCTGACATTTTCAATGTTACTTCTCACATCAATTACAGCCAGGCAATTGTTCACGTTCCAGTTAATTAAAGAAAAGGGCATTATTCCAATGTTTGGTGCAACCTGATCAGTTTGCATCAGCACATCTTCTGCAGTCGGATATCCGTGGTGCAACATTTCTTATTGAATAAAAGCAAACTTTTTAAAGGGATTTGACCATGCCTTTGGCATATTATTTGCATGACACATTTGAAGAGTCTGTGGGGCTGGGGTTGAATCACAAGCTGCCACACATAAGATTCGAACCTGACACTCCTGCTTCCTGGTCAAGGCATCTCTATCGATGATTTACCTACCTGTGTGTAACTTACCTACAATCAATTATCCTATGATAGTTTAATAACGATACATAGCTATGGTTGCAATAGTTACTATGATTAATAACCCAAAATTGAATTTAACTCATGTAGATTTCAAAAATTGTTACAATCTTGTCCAAAAGGACAAAAACCCAATCCTAAGGTTACCTCCAAACACTTGTAATACTTACCCCACCTATTACTGTTTCCCATTAGAGAATTCACCATCACACTTGCTGGTATTTTCTGCCTCAAATTTCATTCACAAGTTTCTTTTCTTTTTAATATGTAATTTGTATATTATAGGCTTTGGCTCAAAGCAATACATTAAAACTTATTCAAGACTCTGCAAAACATATAAAGTCTAATATCTTCACATGATTATTGGTATCCTTGTTCAATTCCAAGAAAATCCAATCCCATGTTTAATTGATGCCAATGTTAAAACTGGTGACCTCATGTACTTGTGACCATGCTCTTCCCCAGCAACCGCAACTGAGCATGCTTATCAGTTACATGGGCTATGAGATGGGTGGAAGATCCTTAACTACATGTACCAATTACCCAGTATGCATAGCAACACACTACTCCTTAGCAACCAGCCCTGGTTAATGCTGACAAGCAGCAGCACAGACTGATAAAATTGATACATCTTGCAGATTATATCAGATCAAACAAAGATTATCTGACGTAGGGCTGAGGCTAAGACTGGATTCCCCCTTTCTCAACCATTTTACATTGATACCAATCCCCAAACAAATGTAAAAACAAAGGCAGTATTGAAATAGGAAGAGATTGAACTCAGTATAAAACAAGAACAATGTAAAGACTTATTGGATTTTTGCCAGTGAAGAAGTGCACCAAAACTGTGGAGTTTGACTCAGGTGAGAGTACTGAAATTTCAGATGGTGGGAATGAGAAGATTGGGAGCTACATGTATATCCCCCACAGTAGCTAGTGATATGTATCATTCGAGTCTACAAATACAGGGCTATCTGTTATTGTTTTTTCCCCTTTATTCCCTCCATTTTACACAAAACCCTGCATAATCCTGTTAATCCTGACATTGCTGACAAATTTGGCAGAGTTATCTCATGGTCAGACTACATGTGGTGGCCTTTGCCATCAGTACAATACAAGATGTGTTGCCTACCCCCCAATCCCTTCATAATTGTCAGGATTACACACCAGGGCAAAATGTTCTGGGGCCTTCATGTAACTCTTTCTCAGTCACCGATATGTGAAAATCTTCACTGTTTTGTGGCCAAGCTTCAAGGACTGTAACCATTTTTTATGACAAAGTTTTACAGTTGCCATCAAGGGAACAAATAGGCCTATCGTGCAATGCATGTAATTATGCAGGTACACGTCTGTCTAGGAAGGCCAATTAAAAATCCTGAATATGCAAAATATGACCAAGAACAATTGTCTCTTCAATCTTTGTGCCATCAAAGTCGGAATGCAAGTTACTAGTTGACGAATTTTCGGTTTGGAAATGTCATTTGGACATTAGTTTAGCAATGCAAATGGGGACAATATCACCCAGTAAATCAAGCCGCTCTTTATTTTTTTTTTGACTTTTCAAAGCTGGTCATGCGACACATCTGGGGAGGGGGGTCTTTTCCAGACATCTGGCACGGAGTTCGACAAGAGAGAGATGTGACGGTGACCTTTCATCCCAGAAGAGTGAAAACGTGCTTCACTACACACACATGTACATGTACTTATATTACTCTAGGCAACTAGTAGTGTAGCCAAGATCAGGCGGGATATGAGGGTTTTTAATTAGAATCAGAACCCTCCTCCCTCTTTGGTTCTCTTCTCTGGGCAAACCTGCTTACAGTGAAAACGGGAGTTTTGGTGGGAAAACTGCAAGTGCGGAAATGGGAAAATTGCCATGGTGGCAACTGTTTCTTTACTTTTGATGGGGGCGAGCAGTGTACATCGGGTATAACAAATTACAAGTGTCCATGGAGAGACATATGTTGAATCCGCAGTTCTGTTCTTTTTGTCTCTCTCGGTTTTTAAATAGCAGCCAATGTGCGAAACAAGGTGGAAAAACTACATTTTTCTCAATTTTGTCACTGAGTTTGGAGAAGACCTGTGGCTTTTCACAAATGATCTGACCGGATCCAAATCAAATAGTTTCACTGCCTGTCAGTTTCAGGTTTGGTTCTAAACACTTGGTGGAAATGTGACACGCAGGTTAGCATCATTGCCTAAACACTACCATTATGATCTGGCTACACCACTAGGCCACTCTAAGCTAAAATAAAGTGGGAGAAAATTGTCAATAGCGGTAATCCTCCACCAATGTGCTGCTGATGGTGAACAGTGACTGCAGACTACCAGTGATGACTGAGATTGCTTGAGCAACCCGGTGATGGAAACTGAATCCTTCCAAATCTCCAACGAAAACCAACAAAATTAACCCTTGGTTGGGGGGGTGAAAAAGAACTAATCCCCTGTCGTTACCCTCCTGTGGTTGGTCGGCCACAATTCGCTCCAGCGAAGACGTGTTGATCTCTACAAAGTCTTCCTCCTCAAAGCTATCTTCCTCGCGGACTTGGTCAGCCTCCGAAACGGTGTCCGTGTTGTCGGAATTGCAGAGATTCCAACCGAACAGCATGGCTGGTATGGCACGTAAGCGTATCATAAAATTGTGCACTATACCCGTGGCCTCTCCTTGCGTTTGGGTTTTTTTAAGCAGAGGGTTGAAGTTGAAAGAGTTTTATTTTCTTAGTAAACTTTAAATCATTCAAAGACCTATCACTCCAAAAAGGTGACCCAATGCTTCCAATGATAACAATATGACAACGTTTTAGGCACAATGTGACTTTTTAAAGGTACTAAAATGAAAGAAGCTGATAAAAAAAATTAAGGAAACTGAAATAATGGAATGAAACTATTTCCCGTTCACCAAACAGAAATTACACGTAGGAATTAAAAGAAAAAAACGAGTACAAAAACATGATCAAACGCATGTACCTACAAATTAAAGTAATTCCATTAGGGGGGGGTTGAGAGGGGAGCTTTGGTTACACCTCACAAATATTTATAAGTTGATAAGCCTATATCATATGCAAGATTAAGGAAAGTCCAATGTTTCCAGGTTATTTGGCTGCAGTTGGCAATAAAACACTACTTGAGCTAATGGAAGCCACAGCTTCAGCCACTGCAGGCAATTCCCACAAGCACATGTGTTATCGGTAGCCACAGCCAGATGATTTGGACACACTAATATTGGTAACAACCTCTCCATGCTCTGATGGTGCTTCTAGTTGGATTAGCCGTATGGTAAAACCTTTTTTGGTAGATTGGTTCCCAGACAACCAGCCTTGCTGACACTGCAATCAATAATTGGTACACTCACTATTTCACACCTTCCGGAGGACTAACAGTTTGACAGGAAAATGCCACAAAGGTTCAATATTTCTGAGGTGTTACAAAAAAGCTGTATGATTTTTTAAAGGAAAGCAGATGAAATTAGCTGGAAGAGGTCTAATCAGCCAACATGTTAAGACAAGGGCCTAATTTCATGGCACTGCGAACCGCAGAACTCCGCGCTTACGAACTCCATTCTGCGCTAATCACACTAGCGGAAAAATTTGGCGCCAACCTCTTAAGCTAAGAATCCTCAGTTACTGGATGTGTGCATATGCACAAGCCAAAATTCCTTGCTAACCTGTGAAACACATTCGCTGTGAGCACAGAATTTTCTGCTATGGTAAGCGCCAATTTTTCGCTTGCGGTAAGCAGCGCCATGAAATTGGGGCCCAGGATTTGTGCCAGTTTACCCTAAAACAATACTTCAGAAAAATGATGGTGAACTTTGGTACACCTAAGACATTTTTCCTCCCATTTCTAATAATGCCTACTTATGTAATGGGGTGAACCAACTAAATACGTGTAAAAGCAACATGTTTACAATGATATATGTCTTGACTAGGTTATTCTATTTCATGTTGATGCAAAAGATGCCCATGCAACCGTTTCACGGTAACAGCTTGCCCCCATACAGAGGCATTGTTTTCTCCCACAAATTCAAAACGCATCTTTGAAGCCTGAGTAAATGAGCGGCTCATTGAAGATAAACGAGGCTTGCTGAACAGTACAAATAGGAATGCACTCCTCAATGCTGTAAAGCAATGCACTCATGACGAACAAATCGAGAACAATTACAGAAAACATCTGAAAATATGTCAGAAGATCTAGAAATTCCATGATAGAAGGTACTGGCCAATGCATTGATAACTGACACTAAACCAAAGAACTGAGGCCTTGTATATAATATTGACTTCTACTCTAAGAACTGCTCAATGGACAGAACACTCCATATAACAATGATGAATGAAATCACATGCATAGTCAAGTACAGACGTATAACTGCAGCAGACCCACAACGAAAATTATTGGAGCATGTGCAGAAACTTAATGTGACTGTGTTTACAGAAAAGTAATGTCTATATGCATCAAAGATCATGTCAAAAACAATGTCAATCCAATGCAACAAAGATTTTTAAATGTATGTCAGAGAACAAATGGATCAAGGGGAAAAAATGGAAAAGAATTTGAAAAGCTGGCACGAGACATTCAGAGTTGACTTGAAGCACCAAGACAGAAGATGGCATCCCAACGAGAAAACAAACTGACACAACAAACGGCCCTTTATAATGGGTCTACTTATGCTTTTCTTGGCCAAAAGAAAGCTGCTCAGTCAAGTGCTCACATTTACAAGCTTGACTGAACGCATGACTAACAGGCCATAAATGCAACTTAGAAAATGTCAAAATAGACCCCTCTTTTAAACAAATACACAATAGTAACAAAGAAACACATAAATGGAAAATACTGGAATTGAAAAATAGAATTGAATAATTTAAAGTAATTTTGTACAAGGAGATTCATGTAAACATTTTAAAAAACATTTCTAGGAGAGAGGAATCTCCATTGATTTAAGGGTAGAGTCAATTGACTGTGCATTACTAGTTAAACAGTATTTCAAGAAGCATTGTGAGTTATGCTGTTTTATGAGAGTTGTAAACAGCTTTGAGCAGTGTGTCAGCTTAAAGGGGAGACACAGCTCGAAATGCACTCTTTTTTCTGAAAGATAGCACATATTTTTTTCAGTGAATGGACAGATCTGATATAATGGAATAGATGCATTGTTCACAGCTTGTGGGAGAGATAAACCATAGTATTCTAAACTGCTCTTCTGAATTCATAAATTTCAGTCTCATAAAAGGCAAGACAGCCAAAAAAGAAAAGCAACAACAGAGACAAGAACAAACAACAAAGTGGACATCAAGGGAAACATCGCTGCATGAACATATGAAGTGATGACAGAAATAAAGTCGAAACACAAAGTCTGGCAAGCAAATTATGTGAATGTGTCTGAACACAAAGTGAACAAACCATACACAGTTGTACAAACAAGCAATGAAAAAGGCAGCGAGTGCAGATCATGTGACCCTTGACAGCAGTTACAGCCCCCTCTACTGTCTGGAATCTGAATGCAGTAGGCTAACATTTCACGTTGTTCATCAAATTGGAGTGTTTGTTACAAGTTAGCAAATTAACAAATCTTGATATTGTCACAAAAAACAGAACAATTTACGACCAATGAACAAAGTGTCAGTTTAAGCAAAAAGAGGTAAGCCCAAAGCAAATAATCCTCCCTTTATCAAAAGGAGGACATAATTTTGGTTTTGGTGTGCTGAACTTCTCATTCTATAGCAGTTTCGTACAAAATTTTGCTACCATTTCAAACAAAGGAAAAAGACCTCGAGACCATCTACAACTTTCCCTTTTTAATAAATAGTTGTTGAAACCTGATTGCGACCTTTCTGAATGACATCAATGGAGGGCGCTGCAATTGCTATTGAGGGCTGCACAGTCTGTTTTTTGCTGTTGTTGCTGCTGTTGCTGCAGAAAGCAGACTAAAATGAATCAATAACTTACTGCTGTTCTTAGTCATGAAGACTGCAAAGGAGGAAAAAACAACAACCAAATGTGGCCATCATTCACTCAGCATTCAGCAAATACAATCTATTCATCAACCTCCAAGGATCAATCCTTCCCATCTCCATGTTTCCATTCTTGTGTTAATCTACCCCAAAGCCCTGCTGTAGTCCAGACCTTGCATTAACTCATCTCCCACACTGTACATAGGCATGGTGGAAGGGGGGGTCTGAGATCTCCAGATCCCTGGTTTCATCCACAGCCACAGTTTCTGGCTTCAGTTCCATGAATTTCAGTCTGACAAAAAGGCACCCTCTGGTGTTTTTTAAGCTGCAGTTTCTTTCCCATGTTAAAAAAAAGTGACAGTGGAGTATATGCCAATAAGGAACTGGTACAGTGTGGGATTGTATTGTAGGCTGGAACACACAGAGAGCTACATTCCACAGGCATGTCTCCAGTTAATAACATGCAGCTAGAGACTAGAGGTAGAGCTGAAATGCAATAATGCTGAAATAATGATGGTCAACTTAATGACAGTGCCATGTAAGAACCTGTATGCATACATGTAAAAATGAGCATTCAAGGGTGCTCAATGGAGCAAATGGAGGTGTACATTATGGTTCTTCCCGTCTCCTGATCATCCTCATTCTCCTGTGTTGCCGTATTTGCCTCGTTTTGCCAGTCAATCATTCCTCACAAATATGCCTTCCTCAGAAGTAACTTTTGCTCATTATGACTGAAATGACCCCACTGATTCGTCTTGATAGAGGCAGCTTGATTTCAACACGGTACCACACTCCATTTCATACAAGTAAAATTAGACTTGTCAGAGTTTTCACAAGTACACACTTGGAGGTTTGAAGTTTTGGGCCACACCAGTCTCAACTTAAAATTTTAGCTTTTCAGTTACAATGAAGGGCCTAACAACTACCTTTCAAAAAAACCCTTTCCCATGGAAACAAGGACAAAATGCTGCCATGAAGTCATTAGAATTTCTGATGTCTGAAAGTTTACCAATTTGTCACAAGTTGTTCAACCACTTTAATTCTGCCGGGCAAAATAACCTGTTTTTCAAATGCAGCATGTATGCATGGGTAGGCTCTGTCACTGTGTCCAGGGAAAGGTCTCAGCACTCAAGTAATGTGTATTTTGCCCTGAATGTTTACAAGTAAGTTATCGTAAGGAAAATAAAGTACTTTTACAGCAATAAACAGAAGTCCAGAGTCTGGAGGTGTTTAGTTAGTATTACACAGATATCTACCAGTAGCTGTATGATACAGTCAGCTACGCATACATGTTAGAGTCCATCAAAAGCCAGACCAAAAGTCAAGGGATCAAGGAAATGGAAATGAAAAGATGTCTGTGTCACATTTGAATTGGACAGTTCATTACTTTACCAGCACTTTGGGCAGAACTTGAGATGGACTCCACGCTACTCATGAGTTTGGAGTTATTTTTAGAAACCGTGGTCAAAACGAGTAGAGCAAATCCAACTTGGACTGAGCCAGTCTGAAAATTCAACCCCAAGGACGAGGAAACTCAATGCAAAATGTACTGTGCAGTTTTAAGCCCTAAAGAATAACACCTTTGGGTTGATATGTGGGGACTTTAAAGCGTCCTCACAACCAACCTTTCCTGTCCCTCACAGTAATCGTAAAAACACGAGAGTGGCCCCGACGGTTACAGAATGGATCCGTGTACATATGTTTGCCGGTACTTACGCTGCAGGCAGTCGGCATTCAGCAGGTCTTTGCACTTCTCGTGACATTTGACCCCACATTCGGCACAGCGCACCCCTTGCCGGGCAATGCCCCACAGCAGGCCCTCGCATTCATAGCAGTAAGTGGGCGTGGTGGCAGTCCACACCTCAAAGTTGTGGGGTGTGGTGCTGGAGATTGGGTAGATGAGTGCTTGCAAGCACTTCTTGTAGACATGGCTTTTCTGAAGGGTAGCAGACAGGTTAGAAACAAAACAGTTTAAATTTTCTCAATACACACCATAGAATGGCAACACTTCACTATACAGTGTGATGGACCCAACAGTTGGTTGCCAAAGAAGACCCTTTTTTCAGTGCATTATGGGATAAGGCCAAAATCCTCAAGCAACATGTCATCATATTGCTCATAGACGTTCATATGTCTGCAGATGTCATTTTGCTGTATGTGAGCAAGGTTGAGTTTATTCAAAAGATTCCACATGACATTCTGAGTGTGCGGCACAACGTTCCAACAAGGAGCTCAAAATTTAGTATTTGTAGTCACACAGGTGTGGCATGTGCCTAAATAAAATGGATGCATAATAAACGAGCACTTGCTTTTGAAACATAAAAATACACACAGTTTTTGCCATGGCTTTTTTCACAAGATAACCTGACAATCAGTTATGGACCGGTAGTCCAGGGAAACCCAATGCCAATGAATTTGAGGAACAGAGCTCTACTGTCAACAACAGACAACTCCAAATATCCCTCATTATACATGAATTCATGGTATTTTTTACAAATTTGATCTGCAAATGACAACAAAGTTTCTATGTAACACAATTGCCCTTTTTTGGGTTTGGCATTTCAGAGTTTTCTGAAAGTCTTAGACCCTGACTGCACTTCAATTAAACTTACCAATTCTTCATCATTCAGAGACTGTCTGGTGACCAAGGTGGAGGGGCCAGACTGTCGTTTTATAGCAGCCAACGACTGGAGATGTGGCGGAGGAATAAAAGGGTTGAGAGAAGTCCAAATTAACAATTTCCATAATCTTCAGCTATTAAAGACACACGAAAAGGAGACAGCTTTCCTGGCACTTCAGCACCGAGTCTAAGGCAATTCCCTAGTGGGTACCGCTTAAATCCCATCCAATTATCTCTAGCTTCAAGGCAGATACCTCATCTCTTTGGCCAGTGCCATTAAAGGTGAATGAAGCCAGCCAAATACATGTTATGTATCACTGTGCATCTTTCCATTTTAGTTGTTTTTTTGAAATCCTGTCTGAATATGTTCACCATTATCAAAACACTGAAAAAAAAAAAGTTTCAGTGCAGGGTTTCACAAGATGCCATGCTGAGGAAATCTATAGGCCGATCGAGCAATAGTTTGAGTCAATCACACTGTTAGCTACTACGGCATATTTTTCAGATAACATGTAAAATAACCACCTTCAATTTGTCCTTCTTTTTCTCACATTTCTGAATTGACAAAGCATTGTGTCTTTTTCTTTTCTTGTTTTTTCTTTTTAGGTTTTTCTTCTTGCCTCCTCCAAAAAGCCCAGTTGCAAAAACATTTTAAAACTGAGACAAACTTAAAAACTCTTCCTGAAAGGGAAATGTTCCCATGATTTGAGATTATTTTTTTGCCAACTCCAGTGAAAAAGGACTGCCTTGTCATGGCTTTGTGAGATGAAATTCTGCCAACTACTGAAGCACCAACAAATCCCATTCCCAGGAATAAAACACACAAACCAAACATTACCAAGAAGAATTAAAAAACAGAAATGAACAGAGAATAAAGTCTTTTATGGGAATTCCACAAATTGACTTGTGGAAAAAGACCAAATGGTTGCTGATGTGGTGACATGTTCAGTGAGTTTGGGGTCACTCCTTGCTAATGTTAAAGCACCTTTTGTCCTTACGTGATGTGAATGTGCAGATATGAAGTGACACATAGATTTAAAAATGCAGATGCAGATACTAGAATTGAAAGTGGAGTTATGATACAAGATGATCTTCCATAGTTTGCAGGGGTGTAATGGGTTCTGACAAGTTAGCGGGAAATTTCATCATATGTCAAATAGCATATACATGTAGGTGTATAAGCCCACTGCACTTGAACTTCAGAAAGTACATGTAGCATGAAACAAGCCATTACTAGAAGACTTGTATCCCTCTGTTTGAGACAACAGCGGTGGAACGATTTTCTAAGGGGGGCCATTTGTGACATCATCAGTCATCAGCAATAAGGACTTGCCAAAAAATCCCCTCCCTCCCACAGCCAGCCGTTTGAAAAAGTACGATTTAAAAAAGAAAAAAGTCACTAAGGAAAATTGGCAGAAACAAATTCTATGAATGTCACACTAAAAGCTGCCAGGGGGCACCGTCTATGCTGAAGCTTTCCAACTGACCTCTCCCCACCCATCCAAGAAAAAGATCCAGCTCGCTGACAACCCAATAACAAAACTGACACTGATGGATAACTTCAATAAAACTAATGGGGCAGATGGAACCGGCCAAGTATGTCAGATGTTCAACAACAAAACACTGGAGTTCAATGCACAACTCATCCATTGTTTGTGCGCCCAACACAGTTTTGGCATGTGGAATAGAATGATTCAATGCTGACAGATCAGTGGAGATGTAATTTCAGCTTTCAATTGAAAAAAAAAATGAAAAAGACAAAGAAGGGAAAAAAATCCTGCAGGTTTTTGCCGATCAATAAATTAGGTGAAAGAATTGGCTCGGGGAAGACTGTCAATTCCCAATTTTTGTGACTGAGTGAAATGACTTTTTTTCTGGCAAATGCACTGCAAAGTGCACCACATAGATAAAGTTCGCAATGCACTTTCTTCACATGGAACCCAGAACATGAAATGAACGGTCTTTCTGTAAATACCAGGAAAACTCCCCCGGGAAGAAAAAAGACAAAAAAGAGCCGGAAGGTTGCTTACAAGATGCAATTATTCGTGGTTTGTTATTTTTCTATCATTGGCTTGGCACTAAATGTGGCTTTCTGAATCGGCCATGCTGTCGGTGTTATTTTTGAATAATGCTGAACTTTTCCAAGGTAACAAGATTGATGTACACGTAATTCCTGCATCTCGGCCTTGCACGGACGTCGGAAATTTTCTTCTGTTACATACATTATGGCTTGTTAATTATGCTGCTGTTAATTAGAACAGCAACTGAGTGACTGAACTAAAGCACTGACATAAAATTTTGGACTGTGAACTTGTCAATTCAAAATAAAAAAACAAAAAACTCCAACCTGGCAAAACAAAATAAAAAAACAACCAAACAGAAGTAAAAAACTTTCTTGAAATCTCACAAGCCTCACAGAAAACAAAATGTTTTTCCACTATTTTGTCCCCAACAGTTAAACAAATTTGAAGTTACATATTCTACTTGAGGGCAATAAACAACACAAACAAAACATTCTGTACATGTACTTGTGTACATAAATACAGTCACTAAATTTCTAGTTCAAAATAAATTTGAAAGGGAACAATTCTCAGTGAAACTGCAAAAGGGTAGGCACGTAATTATTACCATATAAAGGGAAACCTCTGAGGACCACTCATTTACTTCAAATAAAAACCAAATACTTAATATACAAAAACACAAAATCTACACATTGTCTACATCATTTCAACCCTCCATTTCTTATAATATTCCCAGGATTATTCTCTTATGAAAAGAGCCCTTTTTGGAGACCCCAATATTAAATTTTAAAATATGTTTAAATAAAAAAAATTCAAATCTATACAATGGCACAGCAAATACAATGCAGCAACTATCAAATATGCAGATTTTATTAATATAAGTGGGCTTATCATGTGCCTCATGAATATGCATTCACCATCGAGTTGAACATTCAACAGTTGGATTGGACTTTTCAGATCATCCACCCCATGCCTGTTCTTCATTCACATGCCCCACCCCCTACACATGCCATGTCATGGGCCAAAGGTCAAATGCAGGTTATACCACAGAGTGCTTCCTTACCCAACAAAAGCTTTTGACTCCAATCTCCTGAGGAGGTGAGCATGACAAAACAGTGTGACAGATAGGAGAGAGAGAGAGAGACAGATAGGTGTCAAGACAGGAACCAAGACTGAAATAGTGTACTAGCAGATTATAATAAAGCCGCTCCCAAGCCTTACAGATGCATTGTGTTCCTGTAACCAAAAGGCAAAGACTAATTTATTCATTTCTTCCTCTTTTTTCAACTGCAAAAATTAACCTAGCACAGAAGTTGACAGGCCCAGCAAAACTTAACACTTGAATGCTCAACACCAAGGCCCCAAGTGAAAGCCATGTACAGTACACATGTACCATATGGGACAGGAAATACATGGCAAGGTATTCTCAGTCCTTGCCAAGGATGCACAGGTGTAAAATAATTGGAAGTGATCTAACCCGGCCCCTTTTGTGCCCCAGCATGCCGTAATTGAACCTTTTCAGGACCCTCATGTGCTCCAAAGCCCAGAGTTCTAATCGCACAATTTGGACACCCCAGAATTCATGACTGTGCAAATTTTGACCCTGTGAAAAGTGTATTTCAAAATCTGACGCAGTCATTACCAATCTTCGCCACAGCTTTGTAATGGAAAGCGAATGTTTTGAAGAAGCAGAAGAAAATGAGGCAAAAGTTAAAATACAAATGGAACATTCAGTAACATATGTACATATAAGGTTTCGCATAACACCCCAGGAGTGAGAGAGTCAGTAAAAGATTTGACAATGCAAGTTGTTCACAATTCAAACATGTACATTACATTTGCTCAATTTGTTCAATTGAAAGAAGATATGCGTTCTCAATGATTTTAGAATAACCAACTACAATGCACAAAAATGCTGCTTATTTCATGCAAAACAAACCAGAAAAAGAACAGTTTCACCATCAAAGAGGACTATCTAGTGACAAAACAGTTGGAATTATTCAAATTAATCACAGCAAAGGACATATGCAAATAGAAGCAGTTTCTACATGCTCACATAACCTTTCCACCAACTGGTACTAACTAATGTGTAAAATATACAAAATGTTACTGCACAACTTAATTACAGAACTGCACAACAAATTCTTACGTTACATGCTGAGCTACACAGCGGCAGAACAATATATTCAAAGTGGGAGGGGCTAGTTGAGAGACCATCAGGCATCAGCCACTAGACTGCCCTATTTGACCCCATTCCACGATAGGACCTGCCAACAGTGGAACAGAGGCACATGCCCCCAATTGGAAAATTTGAGGGGAGCCACTGCCCCCCCCGCCACAACTTCATGCTCATATAACTAAATTACCATGGGTGAAACAACTTTAACACTGACATGACTAAGAGCATCATCAACAGAAATGTATTAAAGTAAGAATGCAATACGGGCAATTCACAATGGTGCACAGGTAGTTTGCAACGTGCTGGCCAATCACAACGCGCAAAATTTGTCAACCCTTTCCAAACGGGCACTGGGTCAACAAATTTCACGCATTGTGATTTGCCAACGTGTCGCAAACTCTTGGAGGTGCACTATTGTGAAACGCCCGTATTAATGCAAGAAATTAATGGTCCAACTGAAAGAGACCCCCAAACTCAAATCAAATAGACCTCAATACCCAAAACAAAACCACTGCCGACAAAGGTGAGAGTTTGTGAATCTGGTGAAATGTGCTTGTCATTACTATATGCACTGCACGTAACATGTAGATTTCCCACAAGTGTGTGTGGAACTCTCAAATATAGCATATCTGCATCCCGCATACCCCACATCCTTTAATCTCATTTGCATGTGAAAGACAGACACACAGCATTATTCCGTGTTCCTCGCAATCCGTTAGGAAAAACTATTTGCAAGCAAACGTGACGCATACTGTGTTTTTTAATTCAGTGGACCGTGGAGTTCTGAACTGTTCCACATGAGGACGTCAGAATAGGACAACGAGCAGAGCGCCAGATGGGCCCCTGCTAGCTACAGGGGTACATTTTGTATGGTCAGTTGCCACAGATCAACCAATAAGGATGAAAACTTCAAGTTTGATTTTCATTAGCAAGGAAAGGGCAGTGCTACAAAAGCTGGGCAGAGAAATATGCTGTGCTACAGACTAGCAATACCACTCTAGCAGATGCTAAATTGGATCTTTTGGCTACCCTCCATGATTTTTCCAGGCAGGAAGTCTGTTTTCAGGGAAATACGTTCGTGATGCTAGACGACCATGGATTTGCCACTAATTTTTAATGGCAGATTTGTCAACTGAATTATGAAAGCATTATTTGATGGCTGGACGTACATAGACTTGATCTCTGTACTGTATATATGTCTTTAATGACTGGCCTTGTTTATGCTTTGATTGGCTTAGTGACAATTACAATGTACTCAAATATCACACCTCGGTGATAAAGCCTATTCAAGTTTTCAACACATGGCCTGGTGCACTACTGATTAAAGTCAGATAACAACTTTGGGGCCCTGGTTGGTTTCATAGGTGCAACATTACGGGATTGACAAACAAAAATGCTTGCAGAAAAACCATTTTAATATCACTTCTTCGCACTGTACATGTGATTTTAATTTGATTCGAACATGTTTCAGGGAACCAATTTTATTTAATTAACATGTTAATTTTTTGAACTTCCCAATAAGTTTTTCTACAATTTTTTCTTTTGTTACTATTATGGTTATATCCCACCTCTGAAGGCAATACGGGTGATTCACAATAGTGCGCTTCCGAGAGTTTGCAACAGATTGGCCCATCACAACACGTGAAATCTGTGGACCAATTCCAAAGGTGCACTGGGTCGACAGATTTTGACACACCTTGACTGGCCCAAGCGTTGCAAGCTCTTGGAGGCGCGGCGCACTAATGTGAATCGCCTGTATTACAGTTGCTCTGAACGGGAAAAATAGGATGCTACATGTTATCCACTTCCCCTCATGGGTTCAAATTATCGTGAGCTTAAATAAACTTTGAAAAAGTCTGTGGCTTTGTTGTTTCAGACAACAAATGGCAGATTATCCAAGCAATAGATGATGGGAATATGCAGTGGGATGTGGCCACAGAAGACGCTAATTCAAGCACGATAGCAAGGGCCAGAGTTTAACACATGAAGTAAGATATGAGATGGAAAGACACCCCCCCCCACTTTTTGTTGGTCATTGTTTCACTTGAATCTCGGGAATTCTTTTCAGATATCTAGGGCAAATGTGTTAAGGTGACGATAGTCTAGAGTGTGCACAGGGATGGGATATGTGCATGTAAGTGGGGGTACCCCTGTCTCATTTCTTGCTGGGTATATCTTGGTTTGGATTCCACATTGTAAAATGCTATGTGTACTCCACGCCAAACGACAGCAACCTGCGTACCTATAAATGCAGATGGCATTAACACAAATTACAAGGTTTAAAAATGTTCTGAAAGTGCATTAATCGCACTCTAATTCTGGTTGGACCTACGTAATGGGTGTCCAGTCTGTCTGGTTACTGGCATGGTGTAGCTGATGTTGACCGATCAGTTTCTGACCATTATGTAAAGTGTTTCATAAACGCTGGATTTAAATTGGGGAAATCTCTCCATCATCATACAAGCATCTTCACAGACATCTCTGCTTGTCGGATATGTTTGTCATGTGTCACTGAATTTCATGGCTTACAGGAATATGATATGTGACCTTTGATACATGCCATGAACAAATCTTGTGATCAAAGACTGCTAAATTAACCAATTTTGGGGGCGTAAACTTTAGATCGGGGGGAGCATTCATGTAGCCCTACAGTTTTTTAAGAAAACATTTATGTTCATAAACCTGGTTCCCAAAATGACCAAATCTATTTAAGTAATATCAACGCGTCAGCATGGTGATGGTAACTGTCTGGTGTAAGGTCTCATAACCCCATCATGTATTTTTTTTAAGCGACAGATGGTCCATGTACAACTCAACCAGCAGATGGTGTGGTCTGCAGCGATGATGCTCATATTGGAAACTGTTCGGGCATGACCAGAGGTCCATAGTTATACTGTCTTCTTGCCATGCTACCTGCAGAGGCATGCATGAAGCGAGCCCCGTAGTTTAACACTGACAAACTGTTCTACTGCAATGCCAAGGCCAAAAAATTGACATCCTTTGGTGATAACAACTAATAACAATGTATAATACCGAGGAAAAAAAAGACATCTGATCCAAAACTACTGCAGGTACGTGTACATGTAAGGCTTGAAACTTGTTTCTCTGTGCACCTTTTGATTCTGTGACGGTTAGAGGAAATGTTGTATGCAAGCTGCAGGCATACTAACAGCAAGAAAGGGGAAAAACTGTTAACTTGTTACACACCAACTCCTTCAATGAGGCATTCGATACTACAAATGCCTCCTGTGATTTCATCCCTTTTACTTTTATTACACTGTGCCACATTGTAATTCAGTACAAATTAATTTTGTAGCGACAACAAACCTATAATTTCCAGCTAGCCTTTCAACTGATATCTTGGAGTATATCTACCCGTACCTTCAGGGTTCTTTCCCAATGGTTCTTTTACCTTTGAAATTATACCCAAGGTTGATCTGTGCAGTTTCATTGCTACTCATTTCTCCGGCCCCAACCTTGGATGTAATTGCTGTTATAGGCAACACTGATGCAGTATCATATGTTGTCACACTGTCCCCATGTAAAAACAGTGTCCTTCGAGAGGTCTATCTGCATGAATGATGCAGTTTCCGCAATTTGAAATTGCCTTGGGGAAGACATTACCTAGCCACTGGTTTTCAAATTCAGCCCTCTAAAATGTGTCGAGTGGTTGTCACTCTTCCATCAGCACACTCTCCCGCATGTGGTTTCAACCTCAGAAGCAGAAGGACACAATGGGGTCCTCGTGTCCCTGAGCAAAATGAACGACCACAATTCTTCCCATCTTCCCATCCATCAACAGTTAATTTTGGTTTCAGTGGGGATAGGGGAGTAACAACTGCCCCAACTTTAATGATGAGAGACCCACCACCATTTTACCAAATTTGATCAATCAAAGAAAGGACTGCATGCGTAAGTTACTTTGTGCAAAGACAAAATCCTTAAGGTGGAAGAGAGAGTGCAATTCAAATCTTAGTGCAAGAACAGGTTAAAGTAATGACAGAAAACTTAATTTTTTCCAGTGCCTGGTAACACCAAATTCAAGGGTAAGTGTAACTCCTCCAAGTACAACAATTTTAAAAGGCACAGGCTACAGCCCCCCCCGTGGCCAGTTTTACACATTTTCAAATGGAACATACTGGTGTGTGATTTGCATCCCACATGTGTATGTGTGCCCTCAAACAGCCACACAGTCTAATGATTGTTATCAAAGCAAGACCCTCTAGATTTCAGCACACAGCCCAGATTACAACTTGCATGAAGAAGATACAGATGCATGTATACAGGTACGTGTAGGTACAGCATTTCCTGCACCAGCTTCATATAGCTATTTCACGGCACTGCTAACAAATTTCAAATTGATTTTTAAAATCTATTTCTGGATGCAAGTGAAAACCCTTTATTCTGTACTGCAACAAAAATGGTTCATACATGTACACATGTTCAATATGAGAACTGAGCGCACGAAGAAATAAAAATGCAAACAACAAAATGAATAATCAAGGGCAATTTCATAAAAGTGCATTGTGTGAGGATGAAGATGAAAATTAAAGTATGGTACACGTACATGTATGGCACGGGCATGCATTCAACAACTGTAAGATTTACAGCTTCATGTGTACAAGGCGCATCTCAGCACTACTGAACAAATCATGCTCTGCTGTATACAACAGTCAACAAAAACCTGTACAAAAACATCTAACCACAAGTACTGTCTACAAAATAAGATCTCACCAGAGGGATTGACTTTCGCCGCGGCAGAATCTCCGGCATGGAGTTTATGTCAAGGTAAAGACTGAAGGGTGGGAGAAGTAACAGATCGACAGGGGTAGACAGCAGGGGAAGGACAGAAACAAGGAGGGAAGACAACAAATAACAGGGCAGGCGAGAGGAAATTAGGTGACGAAAATAAGTCAGTGTAAAAAAGCAGAACAAGGACATGAGAACAGGGAAAAAAATTGATGCAGTCGTAGAGATTTGCGGGGGTAAAGCGAACGGAGATGAAGACAAGTAAGGAATGTGACAGGAAGAAAGGGTACGTAGTAAAACAAGGGGATGGAGACACACAAGGAAAGCATCAAGTAATGAAGGCAGGTGATAAGGAACAACACAAGGATAAATAATAGTGGCAGAAGCAGGATGAAGAGGTAGGACAGAGACAAAGTGATGACAGATGCAGAGTGTTCAATCAAAGGAAAGAATGGAGGGGTGGAAATAGAAGGAAACGGTGTGATGCATAGTCAGGAAAGTGAGAGGAAGACAAGGAAAGAAGGAGAGATCAGACCATTCTGTTAATACATGTAGTTTTACAATATGTGTCATTTCCTGATTGTAATGACGACTCCGGCTGATGCAGGGTATATTAAAGAGATACACTGTATGCTTGGAAGATGATGAGTTTCACTTTTTGGGGGCAGTGTATTTTGGTCCAGCCGATGGAGGTTTTTTCAATTGCCACTCTTTTTCGGAACTTACAAAGATTTCGAGCGGCAGGTTTATTTGTTTTTGCCGATTTCAAAGCCACTTTCTATTGCCACACTTGGCAGAAATTCTGTAAGATTTTCCTGGCACACTTGCAACATTTTATACAAATGCTAGAAGCCATTACTAACGGGGTTGGGCTCCAGAAAATGGGTTTCATCAAATCAAGATTTCTGGGGCGGTGTGTTAGATTTATGGGAAAAACTAGCAAAATATAAATAAGAGATGAGACTCTCATATCCCGATGATCTGAAGACAATGCTCATCGGAACAGATATGAGGAATCTTCAGAGACAAAACTGGTTGAATGTTGGCTATGTCAAAATGACATTAGTGGGCTAATGAGTGCTTTTTCAAGAACCTGAAACACATGGAGAAAGCATGCACATGTAAGTGATACCTGCTAGCCATCATCTTGGCCTCCAAATACACAGTTGCCTTCTTTATGAACGAATAATGTCAGGTTGTTAATTAAAAGTGTGGCCGTTGGGAAATGAAACAGCATACACTGTACAGTATCTACTTCTCTAAATGAACTTCCTGTGGGATAGTGATGAGATGTTTCAGCAGATGTGAAATATTTTAGACAGCTGGCTTTACCATCAGGACTGAAATCCTCCCTCTCTTGAGTGTTGATACTGAGGGACCTATGCTAAAAGGCATGACTCCCATTGTATCCACCTCCTCACCACCTAGAACCCGACTACTGTTGAATCTGTGCAGTTTTGCATGGGGAGTTACAAATTCAACAGTGTCAATGGGCACAATTCAAATATTGATATATTTTGTATCTACGTGCATACATATGCTTAGGGTAAATTCAACATATCATAGCTAACAAGAATTTTTCAAACTTTGCCATGCTCGCTTCCCAGTAAGAGTAAGGTGAGATGAAAGACTGTTACATCATTGTTTTTATCCCTTTGGATTTCTAAATGAATCTTTCATCACAGTTTTTAGTGTTTCCTTGTAAAAAAGGATAAAAATGGAGAGGCTTTGTTTCCTACAAACCAAAAGTAAAAAACCAGTTTGGTCATTTTCCAAAATGTAGAACTTCTTGTAATGATTGGGAGACAAACAGCATACACTTTAGAAATTATTTTCAAAACTTACAAATCAATTGATTCATATATGATATCCACCTCACACTACATGTACATAGGAATATCACCAAATTATAAAGACTTTGGCTTGAGTTCATAATATCTTTCACTTTGTTTGAGATGTGCTACGAGCCTCGAGCTTGACCAAGAGAGGGTGCAATTTTCTTGGTGGCTGAGCCTTTAGTTGGAATTGAACTTTGCTGATCCACAAACGACTAAGAGATGCATGCATTATGGTCGCATCACTACTAACAAAATGAACACTCCTGACCAACACAGCTCTTTTCAACTGATAAAGGGGTGCTTCTGCTCGAGACAGATACAAAGTGAAAACTTTTTACAATACCGGGTAGCTAACCCTTATTTCTTCAAGGCTAATCAAGTTATACACATCAGCTTCAGAGTGAAGTGGTCGGCTGGAACCACAGTTAGAGTTAGAACTAATGCAAGGCCAACAGGTAAACGATGACTGGGGCTAAGTCATGAGGTATCGACAATGAATCAATCCTGCCCGCTGAAATTATGAGTTGTTACAATTTCAAAGAAGGCGATCAAGCGCTGGAATTTCGGCAAGGCCACTGTCGTAAATTAGGGTCGTCAAATAGCATTTAGGTATCAGTGGTTGTTCGACTGCCCTCGTCTTACCCACTAATCAGAGTGCACGTCATGAATCATTTCAGATTTCTAGCACAGAGAGTACCCATGCGTGACCAGCCCAAGTTGGTTTGGTAAGACTAAAACTGGGGAGAATTTCTGGACTGCGCATTGCAGACATTTTCCTTTCCCGAACAAACTTGTGTACATGTCACAATACAAGTATGCAACAGGGATTGTGACAATTGTTTTGTTTTTTTTTTCTGACAGTTCTCCATGATTAAGCATGCTGAATTGAATTAACAACTATCTGAAAAACTTCTGATTTTCCACACTGGGGCCCTTTTGGCCTCATTATGGCCTTGTGAAATTTACACAGCGAGAGTTTTGTCAACAGATGATGAGACCCATGTTTACAAAAATGTCTTGGTGAGGTCATGTGGCACTGATTTGCACCAGGCAAATGGAAACCACTCCATTCAATGCTGCATCACAGGAGTTATCGCAACCTACTCATACTCTCTTGATGCAGCACAAGACTGTGTATAATGAGAAACAAGTGTGAGGAATGGGTGTTCTGTCGAGTGTAATGCATGTGTACATGTACACTCAAAGGGAAAGAGGAGGCCACTGATATGCATGTGTATCTGCTTAAACAACTTCAGCCACAGGCTTGGAGAAAAATGGGCTGGTTAAAAAAAATGGTTGAACAGGCTGGATTTGTACTGCAAAGTACTTCAGATGTCTCGTTTACAAAAGTGAAGCTAATCATTTCGATGTTCCAGCTGTCCAACCCCATTGTAGGCAAATGGTGAGTATTTACAAATTTCAGCGATAATACCGAGCAACTGCATACAAATGTATACCTGGTAGAAAGGGCAAGATCTACCAACACAGATCAGGAGTGACATTTGGTCAGTGACCTTGGCCCAATTTCAGAGAGCTACTGAAGCAGAAAAGGTTGCTTAGCCACTTGGTGTGCTTAACCCAACATGTACATGTAACTTAGCAAGGGGCTGGTCACGGGCAATGTGTACAAAATGGCATTTTAGGCTGGTAATTTGTTGCTGCTAAGCAGACGTTTTTTGTGCTTAATAAATTTCTGTGTCCATGAAATTGGGCTGAGATGAGGACACCGTAATTCCATCCAGAGAACAACAGTCTTCTGCATACTAAGTATGTCTCTTATAGACTTTGATCATGAAATAACAATGTGCAATGGCCACTCACCCTCCATTGGCTATGCTGCTCCACAGACCTCGCCCTGAGAGGTCATTCGCACTCTCTTCCAAATAAGCTGAGCGCTCCTAGGGAAAAGAGTGAAACAAAAAGGAAAGAAAATTCTGACAATCAAACCCTACTTGTGGATAGATTTTTCTTTCACCCTTGTCAGACTCAAAGACAGAAGGTCAGAAAGGAAGTGGGGAAGAATACGACCAGCATTCAGCAGAATGTGCACAAAATTAACAGCAAGCACAGCCATGACTGTTGTGATACTGAAAAGTAGGAGCCATCATAAAAGCCATCACTGTCCTCATCCAAGAAATTTAATATTATTAAAACGAGGCGCAGCTGAGCAACTTTTCATGAAATCAAACGTAAGTATATTGCGCAGCTACGGCATGAATTTGTGGCACAAGGCCTACACATGGTTCAAAGTTATGCCACGTTTCAGCTGCATACTTGTAACTACATAACTTTTCGGCACGTAAAATCAAAAGCCATTTTTCCAACAGGTAAGCCAAGTCCAAGGGTGGATCCAAGAACCAATTTTTTTGGGGGTAGAGAAGTGACATTGTTTGATAGGCCAAGCATTTTAGAGACGTTTTACACAGAGTTATGCCAAGCTGTGTTTGCCAGAGGACGGAGATCAGCTCCTACCTCTTCCATCTGTTGGCGCACCCTGTGGAAGGCACTAAGCCAACGCGCCTTGGCCGGCGTGATGTGGCTCTCGTAGTCTGCCTCCCCGCCGGCCTCCTCACGACGGGGCACCACGTCCAGGCTGGGGTCGTCCTCGTGCAGGTTGTCCCGGCTCATTCGTGGGGATGACATCTGGCTGCTGACTAAGCTGTGTAAGGCCCCGGCGGCAGAGAAGGGAAAAAAAAAACCAGAGAGAGAGGAGAGATAAACATGGGACTAATCAAATCACAGCAATCTTACTCTCCAAGACAGTGATGTTGTTGTTATCAGTAGGCCAACAAGAAAACAGCTGTGTTTCGAGTTACCAACTCCAAAATGGTAAATTACAACAAATCTACATGGTATGTTTTGACATTAAAATATGATGAAAATAAAAAGCACTGATACTGACTACTTTCCCTAATTGTATGTACACACTGTACATTTACCACAATATCCCTAATGACTTCTAAATTTTCAATCCATTTGAAATGTGATGCTGATCTGTAGTTTAATATTTTAAAGTCACTTAACTAATAAAAACGCACAAGTACACAAACAGAAAAAGAACACAAACCATTTTATTGGGCAAAAAATGACTACAAAAAAAAACAGGCCAACAACTGTGTCCCTTACAGACATTTGTAACTGATAAAGAAGGGTGATATAAGGTGCAATGGACCAATATTTATTTCAGCCATTTATTTTTGGCATTTATTATTAGAAGCAACAAATTTGCTCAGAAAGACAGGCTTGTAACATCTAACCTCTTGACATGTTAACTCTGTCGAGTGTGCACATGTACAGTTTGAGCAAATGTACATCTTTGTAGTCTTGTGTCCACTTGATATACATGTAATTGTCATATCAACAGCATTTGGACGTACCATACAAGATGTGCCGGTAATGCTCATTCAGCTGGTTATAACAATGTGGTATCTAGGTCACATGACCTGGGTCCCATGTACTTCTGCTTATAACAGTACATGTAATCTTGTGTCATTCATGAACTCCCCCGATCGCACGTCAGAGTGCACTGGGGCAGTATTCACAGGAAATTTCCGAAAATGTGTGACTTGACTGATCACTGCATATATGCATGTGGCCTTCTTCCGTTTTTTCTTCCAGATGACAGCTTATGCCACATGTACCGGTAATAATTTCAAAGGGAGTCCAGAGCAATGATTACTTAAGAACAATATAACTACCAGTATCTTTAAACTAGGTAAATTTGATCACTTGATTTTTGGAAAGCTGCATATGGTCCACTCTACTTTTAAAAGGGATAGGAACTGGTGTATTTGTACAACAACAAGTCACTATCACTGCATACAATAATACATATTGTTTTAGATACATGTACATGTACCTGTCTAGTGTGGTACATGTACACGACCAGAACACCAGTGTTTACATGTACCTACATGAAGTTTACATTTATCTGATTCTTATCCATGGCAACTGCCGATATGGTAGGGAGCTAGGCCTTCTGATTGGTCTGTTACCATGGCGATTGATTTCAGCTTTTTCTGCCAGTACATGTATCTAAAAAAAAAATTGGTTGTGTCTGACAAGCACAAGACATGTTTTAAACAAGATACAGATGCACAGTACTATGTACACTGTACATGTACATGTATGCAAAATCGTTATGTGCCGTTCAGCGTAAAACTGCAGGTACACGTATATGTACACTTAAGATTTATGTACCGGAAGAAGTGTTAAGGGTGTTGTACATGTACATTGCTCAAAATGTATAATGTTGCTTATCGTGTTTTGTATTCTTATTTTTTATTATACCTGTACATGTACATGAACCGTATGTTAATTTGTTCATTTTTTATCCTTCAATTAACCCAAGCAGTTCCAACTCCTCCAATTTCAATATGATTTCACGTACACCCTAAGTAAGGGGTTAGGGTAAATAATTAATGGATGTCCATGGCCAATGTTACATCTTAGGGATTTTTTCAAGTGGCTCTACTACCAAGCACTATCAACAACCATCTGACCATAGCAAGTATATGTACATGTAATACACAATACAGCTACATGTACTGTACATGTACACATATTTTAACATTATACATAAACCGGTACATGTACATGCGTGTACGTACTGGTACATGTACATGAGCACTTTTGAAATGGGGAAGCATTTTCTCTTTCATTTGAAAAGCACATGGTGCACGACATCATTGAGGTTCGACAGTGTTATATTTCTGGTTAGGAACAGGCCATCAAATTACGACATGACAATATATAGCCCTAGCACCAGACTTTTAAAGACAACAGATTTCACATTGTGCATAGAAAACATTCAAGACCTCTGCACTATAAAACCGTCAAAGAGCTCTGAGTTTATTTTGGACCATCCGCTCCAGAGAGAGGACTTCACCTCCAAGAACGTAGCTGTCACATTTTTAAACCTAGCATGTAGTTAAAGATGCATATTGCAGAAATGATATGAAGTTTCAATTCAATAAGACATGAGGTTTTGATGTTACAGTCATTTGGTTCATGACCTCAAATGTGGTTGTCACATGCATTGAGCAAGCAATGCAGAAAGCAGGAATTCTGGCTGACGTCTCTTACAGAAAAATGCAATGCGCTAGAATGGCATTTCCGATCTTCACAAACACGGTGTCAAAATGACTGCAAGATGTTACTGATGAAAGTCCTTAAGGGTTCGCGCATAAAAATAATGCATTGTGGCAATACTGGAGAAAATGTTGGGAGTTGGGGCCTGGCTAACTATGGAATACCTCGAAGTTTATACATCTGTGCACGTACATGTACATTACACATCGGCACAGAGGACAAAACACAAAGGCAACAATGGATGTTTCCCTGTCCTCGGTGGTCAGTCTATTCTCCTCAGAGGTACATCAAAGTGCCTGTGCACAGATAAGACTTGAAGCTCCTGAGGACGGCCAGAGCACCCTGGTTGAAACGTCAAGTTCACACTCAACAGTTCTCATCACAACCATATACATGTACCTCTTCCAAAAGACATCTATCCACATGGGGTTACTGCAAGCCCTCTCTTCTGTCTGTGCTTCGTCTATGGAAGGCCGTTACACGTACACATATATTGTAGGACCAATGGGAAACAAAGTCTCTCCTATGGAGGTGGTGTGGTAATTTTAACATGACTGGTTTTACCGTACATGTGAACGTACACTGCTCCTCAACAGAGATGACATGGTTTTGCACGTCACCAGTAACATTCAAACCAAAGTCATCTTCACAGTTCCTAACTGAAATAAAAAATCTCACAAGTTTGGCAAAGAAAGCCACCACTGGCCATTCGGAGCATGGCAGATGCAATAGAAGGATGTTAGTTGAAGTGGATGAATTTGGAGTAAACACAAAAGATTTCACCCAAACCCAATAATGCCCTCCTATTGTGCCCACCATGCTTCAAATAGGCTGATTCAACAGCAAGTGATTGCTGTGGCTTGTGATCTTATTGCAGTGTTGATGCCTGACCATGGCTCAATAATCAATGTGTCTGGTGGCTAACTGCCATTCTACCGTAAACTGCCAAACATGTTGATCTTTTTTGTTCTCTTTTTCCTTGCAACTCTGACCAAATTCAATAGCTTTTGCCTTATACCGGTAGAAGCTTTATGACAGATTAAAAGCTGTTGATGACTGATGGCACTTTTTAGCCTCATTTCAGCCCCATGGTTACTGTGCACGTCAGCATCAAAACAGCATCGTTAAACCTGGGATGATGTTAGAAGATGCTTACCTTTCTGTTCCTAATGAGGGCCTACTCCCGTGTCCGCTTAAACTGTCCTGAGCATACATATATTCCGGGTGGGGTCCACGCTGTCCAACTCCGCTACTGGTTAGCGACTCGCCGTCGCTCTGGGCCATATCAAAACTCTCCCCCTGCTCAAACTCGTCCCGACTGTACTCGTCAAAGCTGTGCTCTCGATAGTGGGGGTCGTACTCGTCCGAGTAATAATCATCCGGGTACGGGGCACGCCCGTCCTCAAGTCCTGGTTCTGAGTAACTTCCTTGGTCGTCCTCTACATAATCGCCCAGATCCTCCTCAGCGTAACGGACGTGATCATCTTCGGAGTATTCCTCCCCATAGTAAGCCTGCAAAACCAAACACGGCAGGATGCATCATAAGACAGTCCATACTACGGAAAAGAACCACCAACGCCTTAGTTTTATTTAATAATCCCACTTAAAGCAAGAAGTTTTTCCTAAACAACTTTAAACCGTCTCTAAAAAAAGTCTCTACCATTAACCTTTGGATCGGAGATATTATTGCTCGCAGAACCTTTATCCTTGAATTCTCTGAAAACCCCAAATTTGTAGCAAATACATCACAACACATTATTTTGACCACACTTTTCAAGGAGTGCCAAGCCCCTGTGTAATATTGGCTGGGCTCTACCTTCCTCAGTCAGGCAAACTCCTCCAAAAACCTCACTGGTGATTCTGAACAACTGTGAAGTGTTTTGGGACCAAACCTCCTACCCAGGTACCGGTAGCAGCACCATTAAGTTCAGTCCAATGCATCCTCTTAACTTCAACTTAAAACATCAGGGCTGTAAAACACACATACGATGTACATGTACATGTATGCACATGTGCCTATTAGTGTACATGTACGTGCTAAGAATGCAGGCAAAGTTGTTTAAACTTGCGTGCAGGGCCAATGGCCTGTTACAACCAACAAGTGTGTTGCATCTGCAGTATCCATGTCACGACTACCAGTAATAGATTAACAGAAACTGTGACACAGTACTTAACTTGGACGTTACTTATGAACCCTGTTAACTGCAGATGCAAAGCTCTCTGTAATTACCGGTAGTACCATAACGAAAAGAAAAAAGAAACCTTTTCAGGCAGAACTGAAAGGCAGCTGCTGTATGATTTGGCATCAGCTAATGATCATCGCCACTGTAGAATTTGCAAATTTTTTTCCCCAATTAAAAGAGTATGTATTTACAGGAAAAAATCCCTGTTCGTGTGAAATCAGAGAGGATTACCCTCCTTCAAATGCCATATATGTACCGGCATGATACACAAGAACCGGCCACATACATTGTACATAGTAGCCTCCTTGAGCTGACATATGTATATGTACCGTACAAATAGGTGCGGTGCAAACCCAAGGACAAACTTCCACCAATAGAAGGGTGCAAGCTACCATACAAGAACAATGTAAACATACCCATGTCTGGCAGATTTCTATCGCACATGAACATGTGCTCCAAATCTTTGTCACTACAACTGACTATCAACCCCACCTGTTTTTTTTCTTCATATACATGTACATGTACGTGCAAATGCTTCTCATAATTTACATGTATTTCGAGGAAAGGAAAGGGCATTCATAAAATTTAATTGTCTTTTACACCAATACATGTACATGTACTGTACCTACCAGTACAGTGTACATGTACGTTCATGCATGTGCAATATTTGCTTACAGACTGCCAAAAGGACCTTTTATAACTAACACCTAAACAAAGCCTGTTGAAGTCTAAAAGGCAGAAGCTAAATACATACATGTATGTATGCAATAGATGTCAGGGTAATCTGGATAAAGATCAGTTGCTGGCACCTTCCTATATACATGTACCAGTTCAGACCAATCCCAAAGCTTGGCGTCCATGTACTGTACATGAGTTTCCACATTGGTGAATTAAGAGTCACAGTGTGGTTTGTCAGGCCCTCCACTTTTGGTTTTACGACACAAAATGGGGGGGGGAGGTTTGGAAACACTCCCTGGCAACCCCACTGAATACATTGTACACATGAACACATGTTGACAATTTGTAAATCATTCATGTACTTTGTGTGAATATTCTTTTGTGCTTATCTACAAATACAGTAAGTCAAGTAGATAGGTTTGCGTCGCACCATGGATATATCTCGTTTTGAGCATATGGAGTTCTGAAAAGAACCGGTGGTACTCAACGTTTCAGAGAGTAAAGGTATGATCTGTCCGTCGTCAGGAGACCACAGAGGGTCCAATGATGAGGCAGCTTATATGGTGTGTAGAGGGCAGTGAGGTGTGGAGAGGATGCTAACTCAGGATCCCAACTGGGTAATGGGACTATGGGCCCTAACCAGTTGGCTTTGGATATAGGAGACCCTTTAGCCGGGGGGGTGTATCTTGGGTATTGAGTCTTGACTTGGGTGGGCTTGTGTCCATTCTGCTGTAGTGCCGTGGAGATGTGATGGGGTTCTTGAATGAGGTGCTCCTTGTCCCATACACTGTATGCCCTGCGTACAAGGGCCCGGTTGACTGAAGACTTGATCTTGGGGTGATGGAAGGTGAGACTGCCATCCTGCTTTCTGGATCAGGAGTTAGCATCCACTCCACACCTCACAGCTCTCTACACACCATATAAGCTGCTTCATCATTTGACCCTATGCAGTTTCCTGACAACGGACAGATCATATACTGGCCGAAACGTTGAGTACTACCGGTTATTTCAGAACCCCACATGCTAAAAAAGAGATATATCCATGGTGCGACTGCAAACCACTCTACTTTTAATTGCTACCTCCATCATGAAAAGCTTCAAATCTCACCTACAAATACAGTAGTTATGAATTCTTTTCACCCAGCGAACACTCTTTTAAGCTTGTCTCTTTGTCAATGGTTCATTTCACTCTACCTCTTAAATTTGCCACCGATAAGCCCATCCCCAGAACAATCTTAAACCTGTTTTTGCAAAATTTAAGGTGTAACCAACTGGACTGTGCATGTATGTATCCACATACATCCACATCCACGCTTGTATCAAGTACCTTCCAGTTTTATTTCACTCTAAAATGACAACGTCCGTCCAACTATATTAACTTTAGAAGCATTTGAGGCATCATGGTACATGTACATGTACTTGACCAGATCTCACACCTCTCTGACAGACTGGTACAGTGTATATCTATGTATTTTGTTACAACCACACACTGTGCATCATTTGCTACATGTGATATTTTCAGTGCCTTCCTAGAAAATTCTTCACTTACTGTATCCCTGATCCTCCAAGCGACCAGAGTGATGGCTAAATGTTATTAGAGTAGCATGTTACATGTAAGTTTCACTCAACATTTACGGCATGATGTACGGATTCCTATCCTTAGTCCAAATTTAATGAAGGTGCGTGTAATGTAGCTGTGTATGTACAACGTACGCTTCGGCAAGTTCACAAACCGGAGAAAAATCCATCCATAAAACCCGTGCATGGATCAACTCAGTGCACAAGCACATACAGTCTGTGCCTTGACCTCAGACGTGCTATCTATCCTCCTCTAACTGGTCTTGGGGAACCAGGAAACCACTCACTGCCCGGCAACCAGCCCATAGGCTGAGTTGCAAGGGACTGAGTTATCAATTGAGGAGTGGGGGACTTCAAATCCATCTCAGACTCACGGTTCTTCCATCTTCAGACAAAGCAGAATTTTCTACACTTTTCAATGACCAAACCATGAAACTCCATCTACGAGTTTGTCAAAATGCAAAAAGGGTCCAATTTGTTCCGAAACAGAAGGGTTGAAACAACAAAATGGAACAGAACTATTCATACATGTACATGTATCACCACATTCCATCAGTGCACAAGTCCAAGGTACCGGTACTGGCATTTTGCTGCTATAAAGTACATATACACATGGGACATACATGTAGCAATATCAAAAACTTCTTCAAACCAACAAAGACAAATACTGAGGGTCTGAGTATTTAACACAAGAGGAATAAATTCTGAAGTTAATTTATGCTAAATAATTCACTTGGCAATGTGTGGGACCCTTGACGTACATTGGAATATGAAGGTGCAGACTATATCAACATACATGTACCTGTAAATTAATTCCTTGACAAAATTCCATGACCTCTTTATGACTTTTGCGACTTAAATTTCGGCAGCTTTACCAGACCTATAGGTAGTAACTGAAAAGAAATCATCAATGTCTTTCCCAGGTTTCTTGCCTCAGGCCATGGGGGAAATCTAGCCACCGGTATATGTAACTTACTTCCATTTCCCGGTCATAGTCCAGCTCATAGTCGGGGTAGTCTTCCTCAGCATGAAGTGGGGAGCCGTCCAGCGGCTCGTCATCTGCCTGGTGGCGGTGATGCTGGTGGGGGCGGTGATGCAGATCCTCGCTGTCGTAAGGATCCTGATGATGGTGATGGTGGTGATGGCGGTGATTCAAGTGATCCAGGCGGTCCTGGCTGCGATCTAGGCGAGGATCGTCGTGGTGGTTTAGGCGGTCGTGGCGGTGGTCCAAGTGATCGGGTAGGTGGTCCTGGTACTGGTGGTCAGGGTACTGACTGTGCAGGTGTGGGCTCAGACCCCCTGCTATGGGAACGTTAACGTCACTAGTGTAATCGCTGTCCTCCGAGAGATCTACAGGGAGCAAGAAGCATAAAAAGACCACTTTCATCAGTAGACCATCAACTAAAGGCCAGAGTCAGTGTGTATGTGAAAGAAATGCATTGGAGGGAGAGCTATATATCTGTAATCTTTTCAAATCGATCTTAACATCAACTGCACCCAGTTAAACAAAATCTACATGTACCTGGGCTTATCTTGTTGCCAGACAAGCATCCAGGTAACAGCCAAGTCGGCTCCCTGGCTATCCTGACAACACCAATATTGACTTGGGTTTTTTATTGATTAAAAGTGGGACATGGGCATAATGCGCAGTGGGCAAGTACATGTACATACATACATGTACACATACACATCAGGTTGTCTAGGGCAAGGGTGCACTTGGGCTGTTTGAACTTGACTTGTCTGACACACATCCCACACCAAATGGTAAATGTCAGTTTTAATGTTTAAGTATTAATGAAATTGCCCTTTTGAAAAGGAGTTCACACCTCAGGAAGCAATCACAACATTTTTAGTACCAGTAGAATTAAAAAGGAATAAAAATGTTTGAAATACAATGGATTCCAAGTGAAACATGGTGGACAAATTTAAATGGAATGAAATGAATAATTTGAGACTGTCAAATAATTAAGTGAAGCAAGATATGAGATGGAGAGAACCCTCCTTGCTTTGTGTTGTTCATTGTTTCACTGAAATCTGAGGAATTCATTTCAGACATCCTGGGGATGTGTTAGATAACAATGGTCTGGAGTCTCATTTCTTGCAGGATACACTTCAAAATCTACAATGAGATTGTTCAAGATTTACTTACAATAAAGTTCATACTCTTATTCAAAATGTACACAAGAGAACCATCAAAAAGCACAATTACAAATTGTCTGTTCTTCCTATACAAACCACACTAAGGCAGGAAACCACACAATTATTCTTCATTTTAACTTTCAAGGGGCATCGAGTCCTAAAGGTACTGTAGTTGGTCTGTATACTTACCTAAATCTACTACAAAAACCTTTATAGAGATTTTGAAGGATAGACCATGGAGTAGGGTTCATGGCCAGTGGACCACAAAGTATACTGGGTGACCTCAGAGCCATTTTGTCCACGAGGTTGGAGTTTGGGAAAACTTTGTTAAAATTACATAGCCATTTGATATGCAAGATATGCACATGCAGGCGGGGCAGAAGGTCTCCCCACCCTTTTTTGTGGGGCTTAATTCACTGTGGTTCTAGACGCCTCGAAAATTCTTCGGTACACATGCACATGTACATCTGAGAGATGTTTTGGTTACATGAACTGTGTACCATACAGGTATGTTACAGTATACATGTATGATGTGCAGTAGAAACATGGTCAAGGAACATGGTATAACAATATGGTATAAAAACATGGTATAAGAATAGAGTACATGTATAAGTCTGCTCTTTCTATGTCACAGTCATATCTCTAGTGGTAGGTAAACCTATGGCTGCTGGTACAGAAGGCAAAAAAGCATAAAGGCACAGGTATCATGTATCATGTATTAGTAATCAAAACAGCCAATGATATTGACCCTAGTTGCAAGTATATGTAATTATAAAAGGCCAAATGTATATTTTGAGGTAAAATCTGACATTGTAACCAAGGGTGAAATTTCTTCAGCCTTTGGCTACCCAAACAGATAGTAATTAAGCAATATGAGAGCACTCTATCATGTCTATAGGAACATTGTATACATGTACTGGTATATAATGTGCACTGTACATGTACTGTAAGAACATGCTATACATGTAAGAGCATAGGAACATACATGTATATGTGGAAACATTCACAGGAAAGTGTACAGTAACATGGTATACATAGCTAGCAAGAACACTACATGTACTATTTTGGCCTGAAAAGTCAGAGGGCCAAGTGGAGTGGGTGGTGCAGTTGGGGGGGAAGGGGAGGTGGGCGTGGCCGGATGAAACTTACACTGCGAGTGGGGTACGGCTTGGTTGGGCAGCTGGGCTTGTTGGTCCGCAGGCTGCCCACCTTGCATCATATCCTGCAGCAGACGAATTTTGCGCTCCAAGACGGCCGATTCTTGCTCCTGGAGCTCTGGGCAAGGGGACAAAAGACAGGCAGCTGTTCCCGTCAGTGATTTTTCCATGGCAAAAAACCCCCCAGGTGTTTCTTCATGAGGCGATCCAAAATACAAATGGAGACAAGTGAAAAGGCTCTACTTGAAAGCGCCGGTGTGAGCTGAGAATGGTGACCAATTTCTGTGTTAAAACATTTTTCAGCAAAGTGTAAATGCACAGGCAAACCCAAATATGATCAAATGCTCACACATAGGTATGGAATCAACAAAATTTTGCACAGAATTCTGGAGCCGTTTTGATGTATTTTTAAAAATGGCAATACAATTCGTGTTCAGCTGAAGTAGAAACTTTAAAGGCACCGGATCAAGAGAAAGGAAATGAAAAGGGGTTTGGGAAAACAAAGAACTTTTCTGCATACTGAAATGACATGACTTGAGTTTTTCCACAACATACACTGTATGTTAAACCCACCCTCGAAGCTCAGTTACACTTTGAAAGCCAAAAATGATCTCGTCAACAATGCTGGGAAACTGATTTGTTCAAAACAATACACAAAGATAATTGTTTCCCCCAAACTTCAACTGATTATGTATTCAATTGCTTCCCAGGTCTAGTTCTCAGCTTAATACTTGTGCAGACCTGTTTTCAGCACATCCACATGTATGTGAATAAAAAAAACCTGGCCTTGGCATTCATGTTGGGGATTTCCATACAAATTCATAAATATCATACTAAGATTTATATAACCCCATCAGGAAGGTACCGGGTATGTGCTCTGATGTGATCATAAACCACCTCCCGTGAGAATGAGGTGTAGCAGTTTACGTAATAGGAGCAATCAACCATGACCCTATTTCTCTTTAAATAGACTCGCATTCAAGTGTCTCCCTCCCATTCTTGCGTTTGGCTGCCATGCACCCGTCTCTAATTCCTGTATCACTGGATTGCTACAAGGTTGCATGACATCTACATGTACATACATTATATTCTTGGTGATCCTTTCGCTTCTTTTCTTTGTGATAGTATTAGTTGCTTCATTGCTGTCGTGAACCAGGTTTGGCAGTAGTACACCGCTAATAGGTGAGCTACAGTGACGTTGCCAATTTTCTATTTATTTCCTAACGTTATACCCAGGCGGTTTATTATATTTATTTTTTATCCTTGAGCATAAGTTTCATTTACACATTTCTTTTGGCAAGAAGATTATTACCCACTAGAAGACAAACATTACAAAGAAAGACTTTTGAATTTCTATTTATTTCCTCAGGCAAAGTAGCCATTAAAAAGATTAGCACTGGCTTAAGAGGCAACAACCAAACATCACCGGTACCATGCACCTGGCACCTGCACAAATGTTCAACAGACTTGCTACACTTGCTTAATAGACTTCCAAACTTTAGACATTTGCAAACACTGTACATGTGTGCAGACTCGTCCGCTAAAAGAAGACTGTCGCTTACGTGTACATGTACTTTTAGTTTTTAAAAAAAAGGCTCCCTCTCTTGCTTATATGAAACTAACCAAATGCGCCCCAATCTAACCACATGAATCACGAGTCAACAGAGTATCTTATGAGTGAGATGTCTTTAAAAGAATCTTACCGGTACATTGTGTGAGTCAGTAGGAATTCTCAAACTTGTTCACCCATATTTTGTCCATCAGGATGCCCAAATGGGTGATAAAATTTACCAAAACAAATAACAAAATGTGCTATTTCTTGTGCAAAGTAAAACAGAATTACCAAAAACATGTCCTTACGGCTTACTTTGTGGCATCCGGTCACAAATAGGGAAACTGACTAGGTGCTCACGGTGTGTAGTAATTACACAAAGATGACTCTAGAGTAGGATTTTGACCAATGACCTCTGGATTGGAATCAGTACTATACATGTACGTACATATGTAAGTACAGTAGTTTCCAGTTGTTCCAGGTGGTTCCTTCCATCTATCACTGAATTAAATGAATTAATTGAAAGAGCCCATTCTTCTTTAATGGCAGACTTTGAGACACTTGGTGGCAGCAAACATACTGGTCCTTTCTCTCTGAGCATACACGTGTTGTTCTCAGCGTGCATGCACACAATGTAGTTTTGGACATGGGCAATACTGTGAAAAAGGACCAGTGTGTCTGCTGTTTACCATTTAAACGTACCCCCTCCCCCATGGGTTACTATCAATGTTGCAGATGTTGCTTGTACATTGTATCGTGATGTGATCCCTGGCTATTTGGTGTGTCAGGTTTTATGGTTTCTGACTAGCCTGTCCTGAGCAAAGATATTGACCTGAGGGAAGAACCACAAATACAATGCTGAAAAGCTCAGTCAGTACATGGTGCAGTAATGCTTAAACCTAGAGGTCCAGTCAAGTTCATCTTTGTCGGAACTCTATCTGGAATTAATACTGACGTTAGCCATGCGGTGACAGGTACATATACCTAGGCGTTATTCTTATTGCCAAAAGAAAATGAAACAGGAAACTAACACCATACCCTGTCAAATTTACAGTAGCCACAACAGTGGCTGGGGTTTTGTGTCCTCTTTCTCTGAAAATCTTGTCCAATCTCACTATGGACTTTGAAGATCTGGAAGCATTATGGCAGGTTCATATTCCACGCAAAAGCAAACACAAAAGCGAATTTGTGACGTCAGATCAACTCAAGCGAAATTTCCCTGCAAATCTTTCACAACGTCAAACTCGCTTTACAAGTTCGGGAAAACTTGTAAGCTGCGATGACATGATCTCTTTTGGGAGGCTTTAAAGAGTTCACAGCAAACTGCCACATCCGGAGGCATGAGGTCTCCCTAAAATAACCAGAGGGAAAATTACTGCTGTGGTACCGGGTAATACACCAGTCAGCAATGAAAGAAATTGGTATGTTACGTGTACGATACATAATTGGCAATTCACGTTCGTGGGAAAATTTCTCCCATGCAATATCTAAAACTTCAATATGCAGTACAGATGTTCGCACTCCTTCGCAACGAATATGAATAATGCAAAAATAATATATTGTTCATACCAATTTCTGCCCCTAGTTGGGTTCAAAATACATTATGTAGATATACATGTATGTATGAATACAAAAATTTGCAGTTTACGTTTCAATGTAATTTTATCAAAAGATCTCCCTCTTTTTGAGGAGTTGAAGCTTCCTGGAAGCCTGATACTTTGGCATTTACATACACATATGTAACTCCATCAAGGAAAAACTTGACACATATTATTTCACAATGTAAAGGTGGTTTAGATCATTAACTCGTGTTTTGTCAGCTGTCTGTTTGTAATTTGTATGAAGTGATGGTAATTGTTCATCTGACTGTGGCCAGCAAGAACACATGTCAATGGAAACTGGCTGCAGCCACTGAGGCAGTGGCTGCCATAGGTATGTGCATAATCTTCAGTCACATGACAACTTTTTGACACGGCTTTCAATAAAATGGACCCCAACCACCCCAAATGCCCAAAATCTAATCAAATCATACACTGTTTGTTTAAGGGAAATTCCACACTAGAAATATTGAAATATTTGTTTAGTAGAGGCAATACTTACATGTACATCTACTGGTAATATTGAAATTTGGATTTGGGACTGTTAGGGTTAAATGTACCGGTATGGTCAAATCATTTGTGAACATCTAACCTTAAATCCTACCACTGACCCTCAGTTTACAGAATAAACACAAACACTTTGGAAACAAAAAACTATCCATTAAAATGTACACTGCATCGTGGAAGAGCATGAATAATTCAGACATCAGAAAGCTACCACATGACAAAAGAGAAAGTCGAGCCCCAACCTGGGCAAAATTCCCACCGCATTGATTCTTTAAACAATCACAAACGGTCGCCAAGGGGCAACAGCCTCTTTTTTTTTCTGATGTCAATGAGGAATAGGAGAAAATGTCAGCTGTGGAAGGCATCAGCCCCACTTTTTTTTGTGTCCAGGGTGAATGAATTACGGAAACCGGATCTCTCCTCGTCTAAGGCCTCAGACGTGTATTTTTGGTAACCTTAGAAATCTCCCTTTTGAGCCGGCCCGAATCATTTATAATAAATTGAAGCTGAAATTAGTCTGACTGTGTGTGTCTGGCTTAAAAAGAGACTGATCGTTTAAAAATAAATAGATAAATTTTAAAAACGAAGATGGGCAGTGGTTTTAGTTCATCGACTGCCCATCGGCAGCTTGAGCTGCTTGTTAACCATCAGAAGGAAAAGCATGCAAAGTTGTGTCTGATTAGATTTTGATTTCTGTGTTTGAAATGCTGCATGCAAAATGCTTGGCGTTGGCTGACGGTATTCACAGGGATTAATGGGAAGTAGATTTGACCACTTCCATTAGCACTTGTAGTATGGTCACTCACAGCCAAGTATTTCAGGATGTATATGTTAACTATTCAATAACAGACGTCAAGTATACATGGATGGAAATTCAGGGAAATTACATCAGTGGAAAAACTGCTGGCAGACACAGGGCACTTTTACAAAGTTGCAACTAATCAAACAGGAAATGTAGCAGTAGCGAAAAATTTAACTTTACGCAAAAATAAAAAAACATGCTCCGATTAATTGCTACATGTACATGTATGCAAAAAAAAACCACGTGAGAACAGCAGTTTACAAAGGAAAAATAGAGAAGAGAGTAATGAATTCTCAGTAAAAGGAATTCAACTTATCATGCAGCTAAGAAATATACAATGTACATGTAAGATCTAAATATGCAGACCATTCACAATTTAAGTTTACAAATACTACGCAATGCAAAATATCTGTATAAGTTAGTGGTATCACGCCTCAATTTCTGTTACTCTGCAGTTAGTACGGGGTAGTGAGGGATCCAATCATAAATAAAACAAATACTGTTTTCCGCCTTGGAAATAAACTAGCCACGTGAATACGATATATACATGTGTAAGCCACACACGTATTCATTTACGTGTATATTATAAATACGCAACTTTGCGTATGAGCAAGTAAACATGTATATCCTCATAAATCTGGAAAAGCTCAAAGTTGTGAAAAGGATAATACACTGAGTTTAAGGGCCATAATGTTGTTTGTTTTTTCTTTTTTGTGTGTATTTCTTCTTCAAAATATCGACAAGATATTATAACAAATGTCTGCTTCTATGTACATGTACAAGTACATATATGGGAGTGTTTACCACTGTAATCCCTCCCCCAACCTCATGGGGCCTAGCTTCCACTTCTCCTCAGGTTTCATGTTCCTGAGATGTCAAAATACCACATCCCACCGTTCAGCAAATTAATGAATTACTGAAAGTGCTAAATGAAAGTTCATGAACATGTACATTCTTCTTTTGGGGGGGTGTTTCTCATTAAAGCATTTGGTAGACAGCCCTCTTCATATACATGTAAGCAGCAATTTTCATTTTCACACCCTCACCCTCAACCATATGAGTCTGTGAACGACACATACTGAGTCCCAAAGACTTTGAGTAAAGCTTAGAAAATAATCAACATTTTCTCTAAAACGAAATAAATACACGTAGGTCTTCAGACAGACCAGATCAGTTTCAGATTAATATGCTTCTGTACTGATCAGCATCGATGCTAATCAGTTGGCTTACAGCCAATAAAATGGGCACGCATCAGTTGCCCGTGGCGTAGAACATTGGCAAATGGACAGAATGATGAGGTTTGAAAATGTACATGTCAGAGTGAACAAATTGCAGCACGTTTAACACCAAACTGGTGCTGCCTTCATGTGGGTGCTTGAAATACGCCACATGTAAATGGTAGGACTGGCTTGAATACACATTAATACCTGATCAGTTACTTGATCAGTCATGCAATTCTGAATGTGCCTAGATTGACAAAGGCACATGCATACATGTACACGCACGTGTATTTGCCTACTGTTGCATTATAACACTTTGGAAGAAGTGTGGGTTTTTTTAGGAGTTATTACTGTGTGAGTAGTTCACAGTCCTGGTAAAACATTTTGTAGTTGTTTCAGACCAGACCAATCAATCACACACCACTGATGCAACTGCAGTGAGAAAGGAAATGCATTGTTTCAAAACAGGCCGCTTCTGTGTTACCAGATGCAAAGATTGAATAGAAAAAGACCACAGCAGCATTCATTAACGTAGCAGCAGAGTAACAGGGAGTATAGTGGAAAGGAATGGAGTACACACGCATGTTGGTTTGCACTGTGCTGGTGTTAATGCCCTTTAAGCACCTACATGTAACTGTGTGCATGACGAATTCACTTTGGTACTCCATATATGTCAACTTGATAGCAGGCCTATACCTTCTGATAGCTTGGCAGTCAGTCTAGGGTACAAACAAGTTTCATTTAAAAACAAGATTTCTTCCATGTTTCTACTGACATTGGTATCCATAATCTGGAAATATATCACTTGAAAAAGGTCTACTTGGGGTAGAAGATGTGGCCTGGTAATGTAACATATCGTTACCAGAACCCAGTACATAAACACACAGTAATTGATATTGACTCAAGGCAATCTGAAGTTGCCAGAAAAGCTTCTGATGAGGCCAAATTGAAACCAGTGTGATGAGCAAATGACACAACGAATGGGAGGGGGTCCTTCACTGGAGGTCCCTTCACCACTTTTTAGCTGAGTAAATGACACTGCAATTGGGGGTATAATTGTTAGCTTGTCGGGGGGAGGGAGCAGTATCAGATGCACCAAGCTCCATTGGAAATATAATCCCACATTCTGATTCAAAAAGAAAACTGCAGAAAATATTGTTTCAATTTGTGCCATTACATGTACATGCATGCCATATCTGACTGAGCAAACTTTACCATGCCGTCCATCTACTGAAGTCATGAGTCTGTTGCAATGTTTACACACAGACACCCTCCAAAAATGCACATGTGGATTTTTGGCTTGGCATCAGAGACTGTGTAAAACAAGTGGAAATCTTTCCATTTCCCCAGCACGCGCAATATCAAGCAGCTTCAAATCTGGTTGACTATGCACTTGCAACTCACTAGACAATTCTTAGTGGAAACAGAGTCAGTACGATGAAAGAAGGCCTTCAGATGAAACAAGTTGGCAACAATGAAATACATTTTATAGCAGCTTCATCATTCACTGCAACAAAAGTATTAAAAGAACGTAACATCTACGGCTACACATTTCACATGCTCAATTGAGTCATTAGCGCTACTCCAGGAACTACGGGAAGTTGCTATGAATGCACTTAGGGAAGATCCAATTTATGGTTCAATTAACAGACAGGGGTAATACATCTGACAACAGAAAGTAGAGGGATCGGAGAAGTGAGATCACGCCATGCACTTAAGGATGCATATATACTTTACCATGCCTCACTGATATGTGCACCAGTGATACTCCCACTGGTAACGGTTCCATCCATTTCCTGTGGAACGTTGTGTTTGATATTTCCACGATTGCCGCTGTCTATATACGCGTTTGGTGAATCTTCCAAATGTATGAGCGAGGCATGCCAAAGGGAGGTTAACAACGCTCGGGTGGTACATGTACTTTGAGATGAGAATATCTAACGATGCATTAATTAAAATATTCTCAATTATGCATTATACAAACTACCTTTGTCCTGTCCAGATGCTTTAGAGATAGTGACGAGACAAGAGAGTGAGAAAAAAAAAGAAAGTGGGAGAGAAAGTCAATAAATCAATCAGTCGTGACGTACACCGTAGATAGTTCTATTCATTTTGGTGTGGCTGTGACATCAAGTTGTCAACAACCAGTGTGTCATATAAGTACTGGTTTGCTATGGATGACAAGAACATGACCCCTGCTGGTTATGAGGTAATTATACTTTAGCACACCGTTGGGCAAGGCATAATAATGGCCTAACCTCTCATCTACTGCATGGAGGCCCCAAGATGTAAATTATGGTTAATACAATTTTTTATAATCCCCTCCATATTTTCAAATCAATGATAAATTATAAGCTGAAATCTTCCACCAAAACCTTTTGAACTGAGCCACATATGGGTAATTTTAGAAATTACGCGGTCCAAACATGTCCCTGTTACATCTGACCTTTGTTATTTGACATGGAGATATCACCAGAATTGATTTCAAACTATTGCTCTACATGTATTTGTTTCGCAGGTAATTTGATTGATTGATTGATTCGCGCTGTACGTGTACTTTTCCGTACATTGAAAAACACAAAATGATGTCAAAAGGAAGATGTTGAAAGTCCAGATAAAGTTCAGAGTATACATCGTTTCCTTCTTCTAGTATGTATTTTCTTTTCCAATGCATGAACTTGTTCATTTTTTTTACATTTTTCAGTGTTTCCCTGCACACAATTTTTGCCAGTGCACACACAGTATATATCACCAAGTGTTTTATCAAATAAGGACATATTTTAACCCCCAAAATGTACATGGCTTGAGTTTGTCCAAATGAATGGTGATGTGTATGGCCTATATTGTTGTGGTCTGTTTTATTTATAAAGGGTGGCATCATCAGTTATGACAACTGCTATTCCTAAGTACACTGTTTATATATAGAAACAAAATAAACAAAGATGCAACAAAAAATATGCTCACTAAAATTGATCCATAAAATAAGGTTAAAATTGAATTTAAAAAACTGTTAAACTTTAATAAAAGATGGTAAGGTAAAACTAAAGTAAAATATGATAATAGTGAAGTTACCTAGAATTAAACATAATACATTGACTACTATTTGATTTAATAATTCAATTAATACATAAAAAGAAAAGATTCAATAAATGATATAAGGAAGCTATATAGAGGTGCCCCTTAGAAACAAGAGGAAGCCCAACTACAACTGTATGATTTAATATAAAAGTAAAACAGCTAATGATAAATTTGATGAGAAAACAATAAAAATACTGAAAATGAACATAAATAAAACAAATACATTCAGTGTTAAGTTAAAAGTGATTTAAAAATAGAAAGTGACTCGGCCTGTCTTTGAGAAGTTGTTAGTTGGTTCCATCCCAATACCCCTAGATACTGGAAGGTACATTTACCTGCATTAGACTTAGGTGTAAATGAGATGCTAAGAGAGCCATTAGACAGCAACCGGGTGCCGACCTTATGCACAGATGCATTAAAACGAGATGAGAAGTATTTTGGGGTCAATCCTTAAACACACTTGTATACCTCATACATTCTATGGTTATGCCAGCGTTGGGGAAAATTTATTGACAAACATGAAAAAAAAATTGTCGTTTTCTTTATCAGCAAAACAAAAATAAAAACAACTTGAGCTCATCTGTCTGTTGGCCAAAGGAATAGAGGGCTTCTTCGCATTTGTTTGTTAATTTGAACAACCGATGTTCTGAATAAACCTGATAATTATTTCATCATGGCCATTTGAGTCCAAGGTTTCAACCCAATCAGGCATGCACTACAGGAAATAACTTGTTATAAATAAAATGTAATTTGACTCCTCATTTGATGTCATCATCACATCAGGTAAATTTTCTTGATATCTGCAAAGTTTGACATCGATAGGATGTGTGCTCCAGGAGATTTAGGGCTTTAAACAGTGCACCTTTAATGTCACACGACTCGTTTGCTGATGATATTGTCATCATCTGAGGTCAATCTACATTTATAAACCCTCCCTTCCTAAGTATCTGCAAGGTTTCAACCCAATCAGACATGTACAATACAAAATACAATACAAAACATGATTGTTATCGCGGAAAAAGCACAGATTACAGATTTTCAACATTTGTCCCTTTTGGCGTTCCGTACAATGTGATCTGCTCTCTGCACAACGTGCTCGGCATTTTCCCAGGTCCTGAGTATAATGCACTTTGCGCTGCCTGCCACACGTTACAGGAAGATATTGCACGTCCATGCACACAGCAGCCAATGCACAGCATGCGAAAGGATTTTTCGAGTTTGCAAATATTGTAAGGGGGTTTTTGGCGTCGGCGCTTCATCTGTGTGAAGGGCACCACTTATGCACTTCATGCAGTTGACTTCAATGTTTTAGCTATTATATAATGAACAATTCACACTTGAATCTGTTACAGTTGATTTTTTACCGAATTTTGAAAAATGAAAGAACTTTTTATCATAACTTCCGATCTGATGATGTCATCGGCCCCGAATTTCACACGTGTTGACTGGGTGAAGATCATCATACACGTCAATTTTCAGGCGATTCCAACAAACTTTGCCACAGACATCTATTCAAAATTCATTTGTCTGACTTTTTAACCTGTCGCTAGAGGGCACTCGACAATTACATGGCGTCATCAGTAGATGATTTGAAGAATACTATACCCCCACCGACTAACAGCGTTGAAAGCAAGTTGATATATGTACCTATTACCACTTTTAAACAATAAGCCCACTTCCAGTTTTGACCGGAAGGGCCACGTGATTTGACTCACACAAGATAAAATGAAGACCCAATTTTACCTTGGCACTTGCAGCAAACAGAATGTTGTGGGAATTCGGAAGCCATGGTTGATTTTATATGGATTTTAAAATGATTAACGTAATATTCAAAGTTTAATAATAATTCACTAGTCATTGTGATGTAATTATTTGAGTATTATATTTGCTTTGAGGTATTTCCTTGGTGTAACTTTGATGACATTTGAATATTGTTGAACAACCAAAATGTTCCCTTGAAAATGTGTACAAGTCAATGGGCAGAAATAAATTTTGAAAAATCAATAACAAATCATTTGATGTCATCATGACGTTATGTTTCGAGGACCATCTATGCATAACGCTCCTTCATTGGTACAAGTTTGATAAAGATCCGAAGTTACAAAACCAGTAAAGTCATATACAGAAAAAAGGTATACCAAGTGAATGGGTTTTGCACAAAAGATGAAGAAAAAAAAACAGGAGAGAAGTAATGCCTTTTTCACAAAATTGCAAAATAGCCAAAAATTGAGCAAAAGTATTTAATTTCTTGTTGATAAATATAATGACTACCTGTGAACACCATAACTTTTAACATGTGTTACGTACATGTACTTGTAAGAGTTTGAACAATGCCATCAGGTGTCCAATAATGTCCAGTCCCAAGCTTGTCACCCCCCATGGGAGCTCAGCCCCTCCCCATGCTAACATAAAAAGATGGTGAGAGCACTGGAAAGCCGTGTTCAAATTATTTGGCTACGGCTTGAAATTACACACACAAGTTTATGACAGAGGCCACAGCCACTACCAATTTCAAGTATTGGTACTTCACACATGTAGCCTTACACTAGATCTTCTGCCTGAGCTGATGTGATGTTTAAAAACTTTTTCTAGAATGGATACTATCCGGTTCGTAAGTGACTTCGTCATACACGCGGACGCACCATGATCTGCAGGCTCCCATTGGATGATCGCTGAAGTTGCGTGTTAATGTCCAGCTCCATGGTTCCATGTAAAAAGCGATCAATGCATGTAACTCTATGCGCAAGGCGTGTGCAGTGGGAGTGGTTTAAACTGAAGTGACGTCACACTTACAAACCGGATAGAACATTAGCACAAAGTCCTAAAAGCTGCTACATGTACATGTACATGTATGTATAGTTAATGATGTAATAGTTTCTTTTGGGGGCATTAAACTACCTCAGTCACACAAAACAAAATTCAGGGATGCAGTAATTTCAGCAGTATTTTCCAATTATTATAACTAAATTTCATCAATATTCAAACCCTCAAAAACCTGTTCTGGAGAAGTTGAATCAGCACACTGGCTAGAATCAGGAATCAGGAACCACACTAACATGTGACCCAGTCTGCAAAAAGGAGTCTTAAGTTGCCACAGCCACTTTTTTAGTTTTCATTTGCATTCAAAAGAGCAAATGGAGCTTTTTGTTTTGATGTAACACTCAGTTTGGCATCCTGATGAAAGTGGATACTCCATGGTTAAAAATGCTGTGGGTTCCTGTAGATTTACATTGTGCAAAATTATTCTAAAGGACTTTTTACTCCAAAGTTGCTCTGGCGACTTAAGACTCCATTTTGCAGAGTGGGTCACACATATTTTTTTTTTAATTAATTGTCATTTCACACCTTTACAGTCAAAATGACACAGTCTAAGTGACTTTCCATTTTTTATGTTAAAATAAAAATCAATTACATGTAAATGCATATTCAAATAGAAAACTTTCTCTGGTTTTACCCAAGTTACAGCCTGCATGCTGAATGTGTGCGTCAACAGAACTGGTTGGAGAGTGTTACTGCCAAACTATATAACCACTCAGAAAAATGACAACGCGGTGCAAGGTTACTGGCCTCCGTTACCATGTCTTGCACCACGCCCTTCCCTTGAATTTTTACCATGCTGCTTCATGGCACAGTTTCCTGTTGTGTTGATGCTGCAAGAAACTGTCAACAAATCCCACAATGTTCTCTTAAATTAAAAGGGGAATCAAATTTCACAACGGCAACTTTTTGTAAACAATATTTTTAAAAGAAATAAACAAAAGGGGGTATCTAAGGATGGAACTCTCCTAGGAAGCATCTCTTCTCAATAGCTCCTCTTGAACCCAATTTCCGGCAGTTGCTTGGACACGGCTCAAAGTTTAAGGCTGGGAGTATCAGTTGTCTCCTTGCCAGTGGTACAGTAACCAGATCCTGACAGTGTCTTGCAAGGCTGGGGTTGCGGAAATTCTCTGGATGATTCACGGTCGCAAACTGACACCATAATTAGATTTCTACCCTCAAACCTCATCAGAAAAAGTGGCCTCTTTATTTCATTTTCTTGTTTTTGGTTTTTCTTTTCAGCTACCAGTACGTCCTGATGTTACTTTCAAGCTATGGGGAGTTTGATGATGCAATTTTCTTAGCATGACTGCTTTTAAGAGGCACTCAGTCCTCTTTCTGACAGCTTGGAACAAAAGGAGAATGGTTGGTACATTTTTCAGCACCGGTGCGGCAACGTGCGTAACAGGGAGATGGCACAATGATTGAGATTTCAAGACTGAAAGCTCTCCAAGTAGTCATTACAACCTATGCGTCATTCTTGGTTTGTAATGAAGCTGGCAATTTGTTACTACAACAGCATCCTGCATAAATATTATTTGTGCACACAAAAGCATGCTCCCAAGAGTTAGTGCCGTTGGGTGGCCTGGACATGTTCAAATCCTCCAGTTAAACAACTCATGACAAATGTCTCTAAAATTCAATAAAAGATGTCAATGAAATGCTATATTTACCAGTATGAATAGGAATAAATCACTCTCATTTTGCCTACAACTTGTGTGGGCGGCCAAAGTTTGCAGAAATATCACCTTTTGGTTGGTTTTCGATTTTACATGTACCTTAAATTCGTTCAAAATGGATATTTGTTCCATAAATTTTAAATAGGGTGGTATTTTAGTAGTACGTGTGTCATCTGGTGTTCTGATAGCTGTGTGGGATTTTCAGCACTTCATGAATTATTCTCTTACCCTGTACTTTTGTACTGACAGCCAGTCATACTGTAGTTTTAGCAGCCACTTATAGGAAAAAACACAACTGTGACGTCAAAAGAGCAGACCTTATACACTCCATTATTCACCCGCCCATAACCATACATCCCCGGCGATTTTGCCAGGAATTTGCCAGATTCTACCAAAACTTCCAGAAGGATTTCACAAAATGAAACAAGCTGCAACAGCTGTAGTTGACCCCACCCTCCACTCCCCACACCCCCTCCCTAAGATAATTCCTGTACCCAAAGAGATCATGGCTATCAGGTCATATGCATCATCATTTCAATACAATTCCTTTCCCAAGGTCTATGAGCTAGATTCCCCGTAAGGTAGCCACAGGATGTGTGATGATGGTCATATCGCCGTGACAGTCAGCTACTGCCCCAAAGGCAAAGTTTTGCTCTTCTTTCAAATTCTCCGCAACCCACCCCAAGGCAAGCCCCATTCTAACCCCTCCCTACCCTTCCCCTACCCATCCCACAAATGACTGGCTTTACCGTGGGTAAACAGGTACAACCACCAGAGCACTAAGTTGGGTTTTATGCAAGGGGGAAAAGCATGTACATGTAGGCAAATGTACAAAGTACATGTGCATGCACATGTACTTGTACATGCATGTACCAGCACATTTCCATAAAAATTAACTATTCTATAAATGTTGTGTTTTGTCACTTTACAACTGGAGGTGGGAAGGATATATACTACTGGAAATGGAGAAATGAAATACTGCGTATAGCATTGCCAGCAAATGGTTCAGGTTTAACACTGATAATAAACGATGGAAATTTCCAGGGACGCTAGCACCGCTTGTGATTCCAGGCATCAACTTCATCTATGATCTTTTTTTCACTATTCAGGCAGTGGAAAAATAACATGATTTTTTCCACTAATCAAAGTGAAATCTGAACAGCATGACTTGTGAACAAGTGGTCAGCACGGATACATGAGGGTCCGTTCTCTTCTTCAGTAAATACTAATTAGATGTCTGGCATATGTGGCTATCACACACTGCACCATTTCCCTCATGAATAATTGACAGGTGGTTAATGCCAATGGGAGAAAAAAGGGGAGGGAAAGGTCAGTGCCATGTTTTTGACATTGTCGGGCCATGTAACACAATCGTGTCATGACTCTGACGGATGCAATCTTCTGGTGTCCACGCAAAGCTTAACGCAGCTGGCAAATACTGGATGTCAAAATCTGCCTTGAAGTTGAACTGAGAGCGAAGTGGCATCGAAGTTACCGAGGCTTTGCGCGTGCATTTCGCTGCCCAAAGAGCCTGGATTATGCCCAAAAGCTGTCATGAAACCCCTCTGGCTTGTTTTTGTGCTCTTGTGCCTTCACTCTCGCTATTTTTTTTTTTGAAAGGGGTGGGGTTTTTTCAACCTAGCCCAAGCCAACCACTGCAGCACAGACACTGAACATGCTGAATATAGCCTGTCCCCCCTGCATGTGACCAGAAATCGTGTCCAAACGTTAGAAAGACCAGCACACATCACTAATGCAAAAGGAAATGCCAGATTGAATCACTCAGATGTTTATTTGAAATGCAGCTGGGGTCTGACATGGGTGCATTTGAATTTTTTTCAAACTAAATAGACTTAGCATTGATTGTTATCAATTACAAAAATGTACTACAGCATGTTCTGTAACAACTTTTCCTGTTCAACCGCTGGCAATGTCAACTACCATCACGGTTTTTTTTTATCTGATATACCACAGTTCACCACAAATATGAAAAGGTACACGTGTCATCAGATGCACATTCAGGTGCACAGCACTTTGTGTACACATGCATACCACTAACAGTTACATGTATCTGTAAGGCATGCTGGGTATGCCAATCCCGACATACCTACTGCACTGCCATATTGAACTTGCCCCCAGACTCTTAAGTGCATTTTTGTGCATAATTATTGCTGGCGGTCACATGTATGAATATTCAGTCAACCGGAATTTCAAATATTCGAATACAGAGACTCCTTTGAAACAGCACGGCCTTACCATTGCCATGCTTACTCGTGGACACATGCAATCAATGTACGGGGAAGGGGTACCAGGAACAAACGACAGGCAAAACTAAACAATTGGGGAATATCATTAACAGGTAAGCTATTTCCTGTCCTCAAGCCACTGAGGCCAGATCTCTGAAGTGTTGCAATAAGTCCTTTTCTGACACCTGTCCAACAAGTTCCAGCATACTAAAATGCATGTACCTGTATAACTCGGCGGCACAGTTGGAATCAAGCTTGAAAAATGGTGTGCTCTGGGAACTTGGGCTTTTGATTATGAGAAAGAATTGGACTGTATAAATGAGGTATGCGGGAATGGCAAGAATTTATAGCAGGGAAACATTACCAATGAGACTGACCACCTTCATGAGAAAAAAAAACAGAATGTCTCAAGAAGTAACTGCACTGTCTTCTACACGCCTGGAAAACATATGTATTTACAGCTTGAAGCCAGTTCTCTGGAAAGAAACAAGCTTTCCAACTTCCAAGTGTATGGTCATTCTCTGAGAAAAATACTGAACTCTCTCCTGGGCAGCCAATACTGAATGAAAGTAGAGCTGTGAGAACAGAACAATTTTTTTGCTACAGAGGGCCATTTCGGTCACAGCCTTTCACTGATGCACACACACACACACAGACATCACAACAGATGTGGGACATCACTTGTTTAATAATATCACTTTTTGGGGGCATGGGAAATCCAACACAGCATAGAATTATTTGAGCCTCACACTCAATGTGTGAAAGTTGGCAAGTCCTGTCTTTCATATATTTCAACTTAACAACAGGCTTGTGCATGTGATGGAGCCTTATACAAGTAACTATGTTTAACAAACAATACGTTGTTTGCTCCTTAATTCTTCCAATTATTAATCAAAATCTGAGGACTTACATGTATATCGCTGACTTGTGTACTGTCGATGCTAAAGACAGATTAAGCGTATGCAAGCCAAAACAGATGTCATAAAAACACCATCTGCATATACATGTAGGCATAGTACAATACATGTAGGTTAAAGGTCGAAAAGCTTTTCATGCTCCTAATTGAACGCCTATTGGGCACTTGTATAATGGATGATTAGAAAAAAGTATGAGACATTGTTACGGTGCCTGGACGGCACCAGTTGCATTCACAGCCATTCATGTACATTCATTGCAGTACCGGTACTTCATGTCTGTACACAATTTTGTTTCAAAAGGTTCTGCCTTTGAGAAACATTCTGCTGGGATCAAAACATCATGCCTTCCATATTTTGTGAAGGTTTAAAATATTCAGTGAGCCAAAACCCAAACCAACAAAAAAACATCCTGGAACCCCCAAAGTAACACAAATAAAAGAAAATAAAAAGCCTACCTGAAACTTAAATTAAAAAAAAAAAACCGATACAAATTTGCCCCATGTGAAACTGCTAAGAATACCACTGCATGCATTATGTGCATGCCGATATACATGTATGCATACATGTACATGCATGCATCCCCAATGACCGGTGGTCATTCCACAAACCATACATCATACTTGAACTGCTTAATCCCCTTCAGGACAGAAGGAAAACTGCCCACAAGTCAGTTTGGTGTGCAGCAGGTTCACTATTTGCAAGCACGGCCTATACATGTACATTGCAGCAGTACAAGTGACTCAGTACTCCCAACAAGTCAGCAATATGTGTCTGATGAGCTGGTGTCAATCCAGAGGGGCGTGGGGAACAGTTGTAGAGTAATAAAAGGTTGCTACTCACCAAACGGCGGCTCAAAGCGGACGTCAATCAGCACCTTGTGTCCGGTGGGGATCTTGGTGCCGTTCACCTGTCTGTTTTTCACCTCCACCTCCCGGTCTAGTGAGTACCAGTCGCCATCTCCTTCCTAATAGCACGGTTTACCAAAAAAAACATGAGGGGAGAGATGAAGAGTGACCGGGAGGAAGACTGTAAATGCACAAAGCCGTGACAGTAAGCCAAGCATGTCGGTGCCTGAGCAGGCAGTATAAGCTCATCTCCAAAGAGGCACTGGAGCTACGTACATGCAGGCCAGTTCAACTGTACATGTGTACACGGCAGGGGTGGGTGGGTGGAATGTGGTGGGGGAGGCTTAACGGTGAGAAGACCTGGTGGATGTCCACGATGCCTACGTGAATTCGGCAACTGCTTGTCCAAGTGGGATATAATGGGCAGATGCGACCGAGACTACACTACCAACATTCCCAACACAGCATAATGAAGAACGGTTACAATTACATGTACATGTACATGTAGTTCACTAGCACAGAGATCCCAACAGAGGTCCAGGGTAATAAGGAGCTTTATCATTCCCCGTGTCCACTTCAGCAATTCAAGCTCTGCCACTAAGTTGAGCAGATTGTGCGACGCAAATCTGTATCTCCACACCTGATGACAGCCTCTTTTTTCCCCTCCCAGCGTTCTGTTTGTACGGCCAAATGCTACTGGTCCTGCCACAAAACTAAACACGCAAAGACTAGCGCTGTCAGCAACCAGGCAGAAAACTCCCCCTTTATTATTCTTCCCATCCCAGGGGGAGAAAATGATTTTACCAAAGGAATATGCGTTGTGGGAGTACCAGCAACGTTTCTGCTTTCCAGCGACTGTGTGCCATGTGTTCAGGTTATCATGTGATTTCTGTAACCAGTCATGGGTGACAATCTGACCTGGTTGAATCTTCATGTACATGTACGTGTAATTGGATACCATCAAGGGCAGCATATAATGGAAAGTTAATACAACCAGTACATATCTACAATACATCAATCAAACTTTATTATCTTTTTTATATTTTTTATATCGACAGTAATCCAAAATTGTGTTTTTTTTGCTTTTCTTCTATTACCTCTGTGAAAATAAACACAGGAAGCAGAGCACCTACCGGAAAGTAAGTAAGCGAGACACACTCAAGAGCCACAGTATGTGAGCTTTATTCAAGTTTAAAATGAATCCAAATATTTTAGTAGTGCTTAGGTTCAATACTACCAAATAAGTGTCCATGAAATTCACTGTACAGCTGTGTGATATCATAACAATGTAACCCTTCTTGATAAAGGCTTCACAGTAAGTATAAAACCAAATTGTTTCTATTTAGTATGAAGTATTATTGACCAGTCTAAACCATGGAATATCTGTACATGTACCCGCAGCTGCAATGTGCTGACTCTTCTATAACAGTTTTCCACTCACGATTCAGCAAAGACGCTTTGCTAAACTCTGCAATGTAATGCAATGAAATTTGGGTCCAGCTACAAACCCTGAGGTGAGGCTACATAAGAAACATTTGGTAGCTGCACACTGTATCCTGTGTCTGGTTTGTATGCGTTCCGTGTTCAAATTCCCTCCTTCGCACACACAAAATTAAATGAAAATTAAAGAAAAGCTGGTAGAAAGTTCAATGCAGTTCGACCTCCAGACAATGAATATTGCCCCTTACTATTTACACAATGCAGTCCTGTGTCTTGGCTCCGTGGGGCCAAATTGAAATTTTGTCTAAAAATACCTGTTCATTTTTTTTTTATACTTATGAATTTTGGAGTCCGAAAGACATTGGAGAGGCCAGGAACAGCCAATAAAATCCTGCCACCCTTTATGCAGTGTACATATAGAAAATGTACACCAAATAAACAAGGAAAGACATGCATCAACTACTGGTGCCTGGTAGCCAAGTGCAGCGGTGTCAACTCAATTGGAAGTTGTTGCTTGGCAAAAAGCATCTTCTCTCTAGACAACATTTGTTGGTGTCACTTCCGGTCGTGGCAAGAAATTTCAAATGCAGCCTCGTGCCTGTCATTCCAAAAAATTTTAAACGCACTATTCTTGACGTGCCTACCTGGTTGGAGTGCTCGATGCTGCACAGCGGGATCCATGAGGTGCCCAGCAAGGTGTCCCATATGAGGCCTTTGGTCCATAGTTCAACGACGAGGCCGCTGTCCAAGCGATTGGTTTCACTGCAAGGAAGAAAGCAAAGAAGCGAAAACCCAAGATGAATGTGGATCCTCTTGAATCAGATTTGTCCACTTCAGAAATGAAATCACAACTTAGAGCAGCACCACTTTGCGCAGTCTGAAGATGGCATAATAAGTACATGTATACTTCCTACATTATATCTTCAATGCTTTACGTTCACTGGCTTAGAACAGTCACGTCATGTCCAACAAATTATGGTGAGATACTTCTACATGTACATGTACACTCTATATGCTGCTCAAATGCCTCTTTACACCTCATTTGAGTCCTGAGGGTGCAAAATATGAATCACACCATGAGGACGAATAGAGAATCCTGGGCTCCTACTCTGGCACCATGCACCCCTTGGGTAAAAACAAAACTACATGTATGTCCCATGTCACAGCGGTCAATAATCGCTGCATTATCTTTAACATCTGCCTACATGTGCCTGACAAGCCAAGAGAAGAAAAGCGGTGAACGGGACAAACAAGCACTTCCCAGAGAGCTGTGGTAGCTACTCATAAAAGTCCAGCAAAAGCACTCGATGACACGTCGAGCATCCTGCAACAGCAACCACTCATGTTACAACATCAAGTCTCACTTGAGTTATCTGCAGCTCGCGTGTACATGTATGGAAGCCCTACCTTTTCCCACCCACATTAAGAATCAGTGACTAACCTGGGAACTGGTTCACCGTAGTCACTAACAGGGCTACCTATTTTACAATGGTACCAGTTTAGATGGGCCGGTGCACAATCTAACACAGTACAAAGAGCTTGCAATGCTGTTTCTCATTATGTAGAGAATGGGAAATGATTCACGTACAAAGCAAGGGTTGGCTAACCCTACAATTGGGAAATAATGCGAGTTAATCACTTCATGTCGGAGGACTTCAAAATTAACACAACCAGGCTATGTGTAGCTGCATGGCACAGCTGAGGGTGACAATGTCAAGCATGCCTCATCAACACGCCTCTGGCTGACATTTAAACATGCTGATCCCCTTTTTGTTTTAAACACACACATACATGCACAAAGTAAAAAAAAATCTGTGAGGGGCAAGACCGTCTGTTGAACTTGAACTTGGCTGCATAGCCCGTTATGGAAGTAACTGTCATTCTGTGGGCACACCCTGTAGTGGTGAAACGTATGAGGATACGCTAAGAAATATTGTACAAATACTGTGCCAGGGGCTATTGTGAATTGGCCGAGGCTGCAGATATCAAATGTTGGCCACTTACATGTATCCTGCCCTTTTTCAAAAGTCAACATTTTCAGCCCAAATAAATACCATGTCAGCAAGTAGTTAGTCATAATGAAGTGGGAAATGAACACGGGGTAGAGCACCCAGACTCATACAGAGCTAAACCAAGGGAGAAAAAAAATGTGGACGGGAATGGATAAGAGTTGAGCCCTATGTGTGTGTACATGTACCTACACGTATTTGAGTCACAAACCTTACAATAAACGGCATTCCATTTGCAACTGTTGATTTAATGTTCTGCTGACATTTGCATGCTTTTAATACATACACTGCCTAGCTCCTACAGAGCACGATTTGTACACTGTAAGGGCATACTCAAACAGAGAAAAATGGCAGCAGAAAGCAATAGGAGCATGCTGCGCTGATGTCATGTACCTGTACCTGTGCATGTACTACCAGTAGTAGCAAATCAAAATCATCAGAACTTGTTCACAGAGACAATTAAGTTACATGTCCGTATCTGTCCCTGTGATGTAACACCCACCAGTGTATTGATGGCCCCAAGTTAACTTACTCGTTTCTTTGGATTCGTGCGGTATAAACTGACTTACTAAAACTGGCATGGTCTAATTTTTTCCCTTCACAGAATTTGGTTTTAGGCAGTTACACTGGCTTGTACCAGTGTTGTAGTTGAGACCACTTAAGACCTTTACAATACCACACTAGACAAGCACAAACCAACACATGAACTCCAGTCTGAATTCAAGTCACAAGCTATGCAAATGACCTGCAACAAAAGCATACCTTTGTCATTGTTCACATTGTTACTTAAGTGACCGGCTGGTACATACATGTACGTGTATGTACGAAGCTGGGAAATTTTATCAGCGTCTCTTTCACATGCGCTATACATATACATGTACTTTTTTAAAATCACTTGTACACATCACAAATGGTGAAAATTTGTGGGTGGGGAATGAGGGCATGGAATGGAAATTTGGAAAGCAGAGAAATACATGAAGGAGAGGCGCTTACACCATATGACCTCAAGGGCACTGTTCATGATGCACACAGGTTGTATAAGCACAAGTTACATGCCTCATCAACTAATCAACTATAATGTCATGTCTAATTTTTCCCTGTACATTAATTTTTGCGGCAGTGTACGGAGAATTGATGTCATAACTTTAAAGGGATAATTATAAATGTTCAGCTCTCAGCTACTGAGCATCCAGACTTGATAACAAATTGCTGCACATAGATACAATTGTGCAACGAGGGTGAACGCGTTTCAAATTCCTGTACAGAAATCTGAGGACGCCATATTGTACCACCGTAATGTGCGCACTTGCCAGCAACCACACATGTACCGGTACCGTACATTGTACGTGTATGTGTATAGGATGCATGCATTCAGTTTAGTAGACATCCTACCAGGTACTTATGCATGTACGGTAAAATGTAACCAGTCCATAATACATATCACTCCATGTAAGCCAACCAGTAGGTTTTCGTATGGTACCTAATGACAACATTACAGTGCATGTATGTATGCAAAAAGTGACCAATCAATCCTTGTATCCCAGGTATACAAGTGCATGCACAAATGAACCTCATCAGTCTGAAATGCAGCTACAAGTTCGTACATGTAGTAATTTGATTGCATGACAAAAGCAACTTTCACACTTGTAACCAAGAAATGTGAGTAAATGAGTGGCAATGACATGTAAGGCCAGGGTTTACGTAGTCCAGGGGAATCTGAAAGTAAAGCAAATTGGTTGGAAATACCAGTAAGGGTATAAGCTAGAGCACAGCATTAATAAAGCAAGCAGAATCTGGCAGCCATTCAGTGCAGCTGATGTAGATACATGTACATGTACCTACATGTACCTTACCATCATCAGGCTCACATAGCATCTCAACATTCCTGAAACCATCTAAACTCCCTGGGGAATAGGGCACAGGATCCTGCCATTTCAGACAAAATAACCTGTGTACCTACATGTATATATATATACTCCCAGGGGACAGAGGCATGCAAGTGGGGACATTAGTGACTTGCCCAGAACCACCTAATCTACTGGTATAATACCAGCTATCATACTGTATTCGAGCCCCTGACCCCATGATGGGAGTTGCATGTATAACCTGCTGCCACCAGGCCAGATGTCCCCACCTACATGTACATGTATGGCAAAATGTATCAGAAAAATCAATATACTGTCATACGATTTGTATGGCAGTTGTGTTTGTGTAAATTTGTTAAGCATAATCTTGAGACAGATGCATACTGGTGTCTTAAACGGACATTCTTGAGAAAGTTGAGTAGCCTTGACTTAAGTCGGGATCTCTGTGACGTCTTCATTTCTGCTTTGGATACACATCGAGACTGCACGCTGTTACTTGCTTTGCGCCCTCGTGTCCACTTATTACTATGAGTTCAGCTTAAAACTCCCGACTTGACGAATCTGCCAACTTTTTGTACACAGTGAATGGGATTATCTAGCAGCCAATCACACTGCTGGACTTGTTCTTCGTCATTCATACCTGCATTGTAATGAACAAATCTACAAGTCTGACTACTTTGATTGGTGGACATTCTGTATACATTATGCAAGATATTGTCGTTTATATGCAATTCTGAATAACTACATCTCACCGACGATTGGCTTATCAGTCAAGTCAGACTTACTGACTGGTGACGTATGACAAACGTTGTGCAATAAAGGCTATCAAATGAGGGCACCTTATAAGGGTTATGTGAGCTACCAGGCCAAGCGCGACGACCGTGTAGTGCGTATCGTGCCGGCTGAAGGGATGGCCGACCAGGGAAGAGCGACGTAAGTCCGACTTGATTCAAGTCTAAAAGTTGAGTGGCATGTTTCAGTGTCTGTGAGTTTTGGTATTCAATGGTATGATACGCACATCTCATTTTTGGTCAGACCAAGAAATGTCTAACAAGTACAATTACAGGTGTTAAGATCAAGTGAATCTGAAAAAATAAATAAAATGTACGGGTAAATATGATGAAAAAACAACTATATTTTCAAGCACTTACTAATGAAAGCCGGAATGAAATACTTTTCGGGGTGAGAGGCACACATGTGTAAATTCTTGTACAAGGAAAAAGGGCACGGGACCAATTCAATGCCACACAAGATTTCACACAATGCCACATCTGTCATGGCATGCACGGGAGAAGGGGGAAGAGACTTGAAAATCAGCTGATTTGATGGGCAATGAACCCTGTCAGTCACCTGTGTTCCTTGGCGGTTGCTGAACATTTGGATGCCGTAAGCATAGAACAGTGATCATGAGCATAGAATTCTCTGGTTAGCCAAGCCCTTAATTGGGCCCAACCTCACATATCGATGCCAATTAGTAAAATGAAAAATGTACACGTACATCTAGAACAACAGCCATATCTTAATAGCTGGCATGCTTCTCCATCAGCACTCTGCACTATTCTCACAAATCAGTCTGTCCCCCCACCTTCACAGACTTATGAAATGTAAACCATTTACAGCCCGCTAATAAATGAATGGATGGCAAGTTCAATGTCTATTTGTAAACAGTCCATCATTGGGGCTTTTATCTCACCCAAACATATCTAAGAACAGAATCAGTTGTCAGCTCACTGTGCTGCAACAAAGTGGAAAAGCTTAAGAGGTTGCCTTAAAGACTGTTACGTACATGTACATGCTGACGCAGATGCAATACTGAAGGAGCTCACGTACATTTACATGTATGAGCAACAAACATGAACTAGAGATGCCCATTTTTCATATTCCAAAC